AGGAAGCCTGTGCATAATACAAATATTCCAAAACATGCATCCTGTTCGCAACAAGGCACTAAAGTAATACCGCAAAAAATGTGGCAAAGCAATTCATTTTTGATCCTGAATACAAACTGTTATGTTTGGGACAAATGACTGAGTATCACTCTCCATATTTTCAAGCATAGTGGTGGCTGCATCATGTTATGGGTATGCTTGTAATCGTTAAGGACTGGGGAGTTTCAGGATAAAAAAATAAGCTGAATGGAGCTAAGCATTCAAGCAAAATCCTAGAGGAAAACCTGGTTCCGTCTGGGAGATGAATTCACCTTTCAGCAGGACAAAGACCTAAAACACAAGGCCAAATCCACACTGGAGTTGTTTATCAAGAATACAGTGAATGTTCCTGAGTGGCTGGGTTACAGTTGACTTGATTCGGCTTGAAAATCTATGGCAAGACCTGAAAATGGTTGTCTAGCAATGATCAACAACCAATTTGAAAGAGCTTGAAGAATTTTAGAAAATAATAAACGGGCAAACCTCTTAGAGACTTAACCAGAAAGACTCACAGCTGTAATCGCTGCCAAAGTATTGACTCAGGGTTGTGAATACTTATGTAAATGAGATATTTCTGCATTTTATTTTCAATATATTTGCTAACATTTCAAAAAACAGGTTTTCACTTTGTCATTATGGGGTATTGTGTGTAGATGGGTGAGAAAAAACTAATATTTAATCAATTTTGAATTCAGGCTGTAACACCAAAATGTGGAATAAGTCAAGGGTATAAATACTTTCTGAAGACACTGTATGCTGGATGTACCACATTGTTAGGCAATAGACTAACCCATCCGCTGAATGCAATAATACCCTTCAATGGCTCAAATGATGAAGACAAAACCATCTCTTCATACCAAAGATAAAACACAATCCTTCTACATCTATGCATGAGGAGAAAGCAGAGGTAAAGATGTTGCATTAGTTCATTTTTCATTATGTTCCCATAATTTCTATTACTATTTTCTTAGTTAAACAGTGCAGCAAAAATGTCAGTTAGTCAACAACCAAAACCCCTGCTTTAATTTAGACCATACGTTCACTTTTCTTCAGCAATTGACTAATATGGCTCAGTTGAGATGTCTGCAAATGTACGTAATATCTTACATTTCTGTACTTAATCAAAAGTGTTTTTCAGTTTCATCCCCTGCTTTTTGGCACCTCAATGAAAGGCAGTGCAAGTATACTTTTCAGTTTGAAATGTCATTTTGGGCTGCGCACACCAAGGTGTGACCTTCAATCAATTTTTCACTACTCTCTTATGCTAATCCCAAAGAGAAACATGACCCTCCAATTAAACAGTGTCTCTCATACATGCAAGCACACATGATCGTGAAGATAAGTCACAGTTCATCTACTCTCATCTCTCCACTGAAGGTATTGTCTTCCCTAAATATAAGTTAATATCTACATAGGTAACATATGTAAATACACACATATAGAGATATTAAATATACAAAAGTGCTTATTCTTGAAATAAGTGCTTTGGGTCAGGACTGAGTGAAAATAAAGTTGTTTGTTGTTGCATTACTGAAAATCGTAAATGCTTTCCGCTGTTCTATTGCCCTAAAAATCACAATACTAGGGTAATCCTTGTCCACAGTGTAAACGGAATGGTTAAATAGGGAGAGGGAGGAAATCCATTTTTTTTAAGGGGCTTGGCAGTATATCATGAATGTAATGCTTTTTAGGCCTCTAGCCTCCCCACACTCTTTACTTATGCTTTTTTGGCATCCAATTGAACAATAAGGGATTCAGTCCCACATGAAACTTGTTCCAAAAGGGGATTTATGTTTTCAATGTTGTATCTAACCAGCCTAACAAAACCGTAAACTACACCAAATCTATGGTCAATGAAATGTCACACGTTACACAATATAGGAGAAACAATGGATGGGATCTAGTTGTGGGAAGTTCATATTTTAACCAACCCAAAAATTATAACATAGCAAGTCACTCTTGAACTTAATAAGAACATTATTGAATGGCTTACTATTCGATGTGATCTCACGTCATTGAACTAAACCTTCTCTGACATCATATATAAAGGCTTATGTAAAATGCCACAAAAAGTTCAGGTAGCTTTAATACAATCATTTTTTCAGCATATTAGTATAAATATGAGGAACAAAGACGACTGGTTTTGGCATTTGCTATTCCTACATGTAAAGGATATTGACTGTCACCTTATTTTTTTCTTAAAGGCTTTGACATTAAATACCTTGTGGAATACCAGTACTGGCCACGGAACAGTTGCAAGATGAGCTGTTTTTTCTCTGTTTCTCTTCCCGCCCCCCCCCCACCCCTCCTTTTTTGTTTGTTTTTTGTTTGTTTTAAACAGTTCCTTCCCAGCCATATGATTGAATGCACCAGGAACTGACAATGAATCTCAGTCTGCAAAATGATTTCTTATATAATTAATAGTATGTATATCTAAAGAGATGTGCTAAATGGTTTTGATATTCCATTCAAAGAGAACAATTCTAGGGGTACCATTAGGTTACACAAGTGATGATCGGACTGAGGCATTTCGAGAGTAAAACAACATTTCAACTGAGAAAGGGGGTTAAGGTTGTCAGTGTATCACACGATAGAGGTATTGGTACCAGACATGCCTACATGGTGTTCTTGTTGACGCAAAAGAGAAATGGGAGCACACATACTTGAAAATGGGTGTAAAGAAATCAATCACTTTTGGGATTCTTTGAAATTCAAATAAATAAAATACTGAAAGACACTTCTTAAACAACTTCCGGGATGCATTTACTTATAAATAAAAAGCCCTTGTAATGCTGATTGTCATTTTTAAAAAATGTAAAAAAAAAGTAGCTGTCCATACATAACCATAGCAACGTAATGCAGATATTTTAGTTTTCAGTGTCAGCCACATGTTGTGTTATTAGGTACCGGTACATTACCACTACTTTCACAATTTCGCAATCTAAGCCTAACTACGTTTATGTAATATTGAAAATACAGAAACAAAATAGGATAATGCGTAATATTACAGTACACCATGGATTTAAAAAGCTTTGAAATTCTAATTCGTTTATGGATGTGTGAGTAGGGTCAAATACTGATAGATAGATTTTGTAATCTGAATTTTTTCAAATCGCTACAACCACAAGAAAACACAATTACAACAGAGTGAACATAATTGGAATTATGTTCTAATTAACAGAACTAACAATCTTCATAAATAGCTTAATCAAGTGAAACACAAAACTAAACTGATTCAACTAATGTGCAAAAGAAGAGAGAAGCAAACAAGTATGGCTGTTTGAAAATAATAGAAAAACAACAAAAACCCATTCTACCTATTCCCTTAGAATGAAACGAGATTATCAAAATACAACTTTTTGTACATTTTTGATAACATGTATGCATTCCAATTGAAAAATAATACTTTAACTTTGGAGGTACAGTGCAAATCATTTCCTTCAAACCTTTTAAGTCATCCTCAATGTTGAGGTAAAAACGACATTAACCTTTCCACCACAGCAAACAGCAGGGAAAGAAAAACACTAAGAGAGTTTTAAGGCTGTCTGTGACTGAATATTGCTTCCAACTCCAAATAACGTAAAAAGTCAAATTAAACACTACATGTAGACCCGCATTGACTGAAACCGTGAATACAATCCATGGAAAAGGCAGCAATATTTTAGCAGCTATTTTGAAAACACATTTTCTCATGGCCCTGTTGTGCAAACATATTTGACTGACGATACACAAGTAAATACGAAATCTGTTTACATTGTGTAAACAAGTGTTTATACAACAACAATAATAGCTTATACCACGATCAGTATGTGTGCTAAACCCATCTCTCTTAAAATCTGAATTTCATCCTTTAAAATGTCCCACTAGAATTGTTCTCTTTTTAAGTCTCAAATAATCAGGGATAAGGTGGGGATCAGAGGGCATAAACTAGGTGGGGATGAGGGGTTGGGTTAATCTCTCAGTAATTCTCAGTATTCCATAGGCATAACATTGTTTAATATCCAGAAACGCCTACGACAGTGACAAGTGGGAGTTGGGTTCAGGCATGAACCACAACTTCTTCCTTTAGTATGGACTCCGTGAGAGAGGGCTAATGCAGAAAAACCCAGTCAGGCATTGACTGGACCTGCTGGATGGTGTCACTCAGATGGCCTTAGCCAGTGGGAAGTGCTTGTTGTTGGACTTCTAGGGGAGTAGACACCAGCTTGTAACTGCTTGTTTTCAAATCCATGGGGTTTCTCTGCAGAGCTTTCAACTCTCTCTCTTTCTCTTCAGAGGCACAGCACGGGAAATACCCACACATGCTGCATATTGCACCAGTTTAAGTCAGAAGTTGGAGGCGCACCGTTCTCCTTCTACTAGGTCATCGCTTTCACTGGGATTTGCGAGGTTAGTTCATTCATTGTTGAAGTGCAATTTCAAAAATTCCAAAAAATTGGAAATGTAATTTAGAATTAAATTAGACTATCTGTAACTTGTCATACATGCTTGTGAATCGGTTAATTCAACAAAAACCTCCATGATAATATCGGAAGAAAATAAATTCTTTTAAAAATGGTTTCTCACTGCCGGTACGATTTAGAGGGACTCTGTGACAAGCTCTGTCCTGGACACTGGACAAAGGGTGTCTTACCTAAGACCAGGCTAGTGACGAATAAACGATGACAATGATGCCACAGAGGAGAGAGGCAAATAATTGCATATAGGTTTGACTGCACCCATTAGGGATTTAGTTTTTCTTCAAACAAACACACAGACAGACACACGCACACACATACGTGAATCTAAGTATATTCCTGCTCTTGTTGTGTGTGTTAGAAGGGGGGGGGGGGGGTTGTCCCCCGGATCATAGTGGATTAAAGAGGGGAGATCCGGCAAGTTAGAGATACAACGAGACAGGACAGCGGCACCTGGGGTAGGGCGGTCTGAGGGGAGCTGGTTGGGGGGGGGGGGGGTTCATCTCACTCGGTGAAGCAGCCGTCCAGGCCGATGGTGCCATGGCGGTCCTTGGCGTAGGCGTGGCGCAGGTTGCCATTGGGCAGGGGCCCGCAGGCGGCGGCGATGCCACAGTGCTTCAGCAGGTTGAGGCCAAAGGATGCGGCGGCACTGGCGTCTTTGGGAGGGAAAGGCTTCATGGTGGAGAGGATCAGGGCCAGGCAGTCCGCCACATCCTTGTTAGGGGCACAGGCCAGGGCCGGGGTGTGGCCTGACGAGAGGAGAAAGAAACACAAAAACACACAATTGATTAAAAGACTTCACATTTAGGAAGAACAAATTCTCTTTTATAAAATTCTCAATAAGAACCTGGTTAGTCAAGAGGACTAACCACTTTTACTCAAACACATACACACACCAAAACGAGATAAGCAAACGGCCACCTCACCCCAGTGGGGTAGGCAGAAATTGCTGTGTGGCTGGGCCTGAGTAAGTGACTGGGCCAACATTTTCCAGAAAAAAATACAGCAAAAATACCCTGTCATATTTAATCATATTGCATAATTTAACACATAACAAATGATAAATTTGACGAAGAAACACCACAAACCAGGGATGTGCACGGTTATTTGAATATCTGAATGGACGTTAGTAGTCGAATACTTGTGTGAGTATTCATTTTTGGGCCCAAAAAATGTATAGGCCAATTTTAACACTGAAAATAATTTTTCTAAATTACATTAAAACATACGTGATTGAATAAAACAAACTTTTCAATGTAGTTTTTATGACATGTATAGCCTTCACGTGTAGCTTGTTTATGTTGGCCAATCAAAGAGGCTCAATGTGTAGCAAGTGGAGTGAGAGTTCACTAAATGCAATGCAAGATGGAATAAAATTATATCATTAAAAGTAAGCGAAATGAGGAGTAGGCTACAACGAGCAACCAACAGGTAGTCTGTTGTATTAGGGGTTTACCCCTTTTTCTCCCCAATTTCGTGGTATCCAATTGGCAATTGGTAGTTACAGTCTTGTCCCATCGCTGCAACTCCCGTACGGACAGGGGAGAGGCGAAGGTTGAGAGCAATGTGCCCTCCGAAACACAACCCAACTGAGCCGCACTGCTTCTTGACACAATGCCCGCTTAACCCAGAAGACAGCCGCAGGAAACACCATACACCTGGCGACCGTGTCAGCATGCACTGCGCCCGGCCCGCCACAGGAGTCGCTAGTGCGCGATGGGTCAAGAACATCCCTGCTGGCCAAACCCTCCCCTAACCTGGACGACGCTGGGTCAATTGTGCGCCGCCCCATGGGTCTCCCGGTCGCGGCCGGATACGACAGAGCCTGGACTCAAACCAGGATCTCTAGTGGCACAGCTAGCACTGCGATGCAGTGCCTTAGACCACTGCGCCACTCGGGAGGCCAGGCTGTTGTTTTATTTGAATGAGGTTGGGTAGAAAGCGCATCATGTGGCCTCAAGAATTAGCCTAGCTAGCTATAGCTGGCTAGCTAGCTTCTCTAGGCTACTCCAGTCTGCTCGCTGCCATCTCACAGCTGCAGCAATAGAGCAGTGCTCAGGTTAAAAACCACATATTTGGAATTTCCGTATATCCAACTAACTTTAAAAAAACATGCAATTCTACGACACTTTAATTAGTATTAGCATTACTTTAAGGTTAATATACATGATAGGTGTGTACAATCCTGTTACTCTGGTTGTGTAAGTTGCAGTTTTAACATATCTCTGTACCTGGTCCACCACGGCTAGGCACATCTCGTGTTCTTACCCTCACCCTCTGTACTCTGAAACTTGCATGTTCGGTTAGGTATCTCTGTTCCGAACGAAGTCTCTCCTTATCCTCTATTAGAAGAACAAACTGTTCTTAGTACTCGCAAGAGAACACAGAGGACAGAATATTTGGCCACCTCATCAGTTAGATATCCGTTAGATATCTGTTGGTTCGACACACAGCCATGACTAAGCATTTACAGTGGCTTGAAAAAATATTCACCCTCCTTGGCATTTTTCCTATTTTGATGCCTTACAACCTGAAATTAAAATTGATTTTTGGGGGGTTTGTATCATTTGATTTACACAACATGCCTACCACTTTGAAGATGCAAAATATTTTTTTATTGTGAAACAAACAAGAAATAAGACCAGAAAACTTGAGCGTGCATAACTATTCACCCCCCCAAAGTCAATACTTTGTAGAGCCACCTTTTGCAGCAATTACAGCTGCAAGTCTCTTGGGGTATGTCTCTATAAGCTAGGCACATCTAGCCACTGGGATTTTTGCCCATTCTTCAAGGCAAAACTGCTCCAGCTCCTTCAAGTTGGATGGGTTCCGCTGGTGTACAGCAATCTTTAAGTCATACCACAGATTTAAACGTTTCCCATAAAACCACTTGAGTGCTGCTTTAGCAGTATGCTTAGGGTCATTGTCCTGCTGGAAGGCGAACCTCCGTCCCAGTCTCAAATCTCTGGAAGATTGAAACAGGTTTCCCTCAAGAATGTCCCTTTATTTAGCACCATCCATCATTCCTTCAATTCTGACCAGTTTCCCAGTCCCTGCCGATGAAAAACATCTCCACAGCATGATGCTGCCACCACCATGCTTCACTGTGGGGATGGTGTTCTCGGGGTGATGAGAGGTGTTGGGTTTGCGCCAGACATAGTGTTTTCCTTGATGGCCAAAAAGCTCAATTTTAGTCTCATCTGATCAGAGTACCTTCTTCCATATATTTGGGGAGTCTCTAACATGCCTTTTGGCGAACACCAAACGTGTTTGCTTATTTTTTTCTTTAAGCAATGGCTTTTTTTTGGCCACTCTTCCGTAAAGCCCAGCTCTGTGGAGTGTACGGCTTAAAGTGGTCCTATGGACAGATACTCCAATCTCCACTGTGGAGCTTTGCAGCTCCTTCAGGGTTATATTTGGTCTCTTTGTTGCCTCTGATTAATGCCCTCCTTGCCTGGTCCGTTAGTTTTGGTGGGTGGCCCTCTCTTGGCAGGTTTGTTGTGGTGCCACATTCTTTCCATTTTTGAATAATGGATTTAATAGCACTCCGTGGGATGTTTAAAGTTTCTGATTAAAAAAATTATAACCCAACCCTGATCTGTACTTCTCCACAACTTTGTCCCTGACCTGTTTGGAGAGCTCCTTGGTCTTCATGGTGCCTCTTGCTTGGTGGTGCCCCTTGCTTAGTGGTGTTACAGACTCTGGGGCCTTTCAGAACAGATGTATATATACTGAGATCATGTGACAGATCATGTGACACTTAGATTGCACACAGGTGGACTTTATTTAACTAATTATCTGACTTCTGAATGTAATTGGTTGCACCAGATCTTATTTAGGGGCTTCATAGCAAAGGGGGAGAATACATATGCACGCACCACTTTTCCATTATTTATTTTTTTGAATTAGTCTAAAACAAGTATTTTTTTTCATTTCACTTCACCAATTTGGACTATTTTGTGTATGTCCATTAAATGAAATCCAAATAAAAATCTATTTTAAATTACAGGTTGTAATGCAACAAAATAGGAAAAAACGCCAAGGCGGATGAATACTTTTGCAAGGCACTGTATAGGTCTACTATATACAGTGAGGGAAAAAAGTATTTGATCCCCTGCTGATTTTGTACGTTTGCCCACTGACAAAGAAATGATCAGTCTATAATTTTAATGGTAGGTTTATTTGAACAGTGAGAGACAGAATAACAACAACAAAGTCCAGAAAAACGCATGTCAAAAATGTTATAAATTGATTTGCATTTTAATGAGGGAAATAAGTATTTGACCCCCTCTCAATCAGAAAGGTTTCTGGCTCCCAGGTATCTTTTATACAGGTAACGAGCTGAGATTAGGAGCACACTCTTAAAGGGAGTGCTCCTAATCTCAGCTTGTTACCTGTATAAATGTCACCTGTCCACAGAAGCAATCAATCAATCAGATTCCAAACTCTCCACCATGGCCAAGACCAAAGAGCTCTCCAAGGATGTCAGGGACAAGATTGTAGACCTACACAAGGCTGGAATGGGCTACAAAGACCATCGCCAAGCAGCTTGGTGAGAAGGTGACAACAGTTGGTGCGATTCTTCGCAAATGGAAGAAACACAAAATAACTGTCAGTCTCCCTCGGCCTGGGGCTCCATGCAAGATCTCACCTCGTGGAGTTGCAATGATCATGAGAACGGTGAGGAATCAGCCCAGAACTACACAGGAGGATCTTCTCAATGATCTCAAGGCAGATGGGACCATAGTCACCAAGAAAACAATTGGTAACACACTACGCCGTGAAGGACTAAAATCCTGCAACGCCCGCAAGGTCCCCCTGCTCAAGAAAGCACATATACAGGGCCGTCTGAAGTTTGCCAATTAACATCTGAATGATTCAGAGGAGAACTGGGTGAAAGTGTTGTGGTCAGATGAGACCAAAATCAAGCTCTTTGGCATCAACTCTTTGGACAGGGCCATGTACCGTCAAATCTTGGGTGAGAACCTACCCTCAGACAGGGCATTGAAAATGGGTCATGGATTTGTATTCCAGCATGACAATGACCCAAAACACACAGCCAAGGCAACAAAGGAGTGGCTCAAGAAGAGGCACATTAAAGGTCCTGGAGTGGCCTAGCCAGTCTCCAGACCTTAATCCCATATAAAATCTGTGGAGGGAGCTGAAGGTTCAAGTTGCCAAACGTCAGCCTCGAAACCTTAATGACTTGGAGAAGATCTGCAAAGAGGAGTGGAATAAAATCCCTCCTGAGATGTGTGCAAACCTGGTGGCCAACTACAAGAATCGTCTGCCCTCTGTGATTGCCAACAAGGGTTTTGCCACCAAGTACTAAGTCATGTTTTGCAGAGGGGTCAAATACTTATTTCCCTCATTAAAATGCACACAATTATCTTTAAGGTACCTCAGTCGAGCAGTGCATTTCAAACACAGATTCAACCACAAAGACCAGAGAGGTTTTCTAATGCCTCGCAATGTGCACCTATTTGTAGATTTTTTTTTTTTTTTTTTTTTTTTTTTTTTTTATACAGACATTGAATATCCCTTTGAGCATTACACTTTGGATGGTGTATCAATACACCCAGTCACTACAAAGACACAGGCGTCCTTCCTAACTCAGTTGCCGCAGAGGGAGGAACCCTCTCAGGGATTTCACCAGGAGGCCAATGGTGACTTCAAAACAGTTACAGAATGTAATGGCTGTGTTAGGAGAAAACGGCAGCTGGATCAACAACATTGTAGTTACTCCACAATACTAACCTAATTGAAAAGTGAAAAGTGAAAAGAATGAAGCCTGTACAGCAGGGGTCGGCAACCTAAGACTTGGCAAGCCACTCCCCCCACCCCCCAAAAAAAGGATATACTGTGCATTCGGAAAGTATTCAGACCCCTTGACTTTTTCCACATTTTGTTACTTTACAGCCTTATTCTAAAATGTATTAAATAAACATTTTCCTTATCAATTTACACACAATACCACATAATGACAAAGCACAAATAGATTTTTTGTATTAAAATCAAAAACAGAAATATATTTTATTTACATAAGTATTCAGACCCTTTGCTATGAGACCCCAATTTGAGCTCAGGTGCATCCTGCTTCCATGTATCATCCTTGAGATGTTTCTAAAACTTGATTAGAGTCCACCTGGGGTAAATTCAATTGATTGGACATAATTTGGAAAGGCACACACCTGTCTATATAAGGTCCCACAGTTGACCGTGCATGTCAGAGCAAAAACCAAGCCATGAGGTCAAAGGAATTGTCCGTAGAGCTCTGAGACAGGATTGTGTTGAAGCACAGATCTGGGGAAGGGTACTGAAAAATGTCTGCAGCATTGAAGGTCCCCAAGAACACAGTGGCCTCCATTATTCTTAACTTGAGGAAGTTTTTAACCAAGACTCTTCCGAGAGCTGGCCGCCCGGCCAAACTGAGCAATCAGGGGAGAAGGGCCTTGGTCAGGGAGGTGACCAAGAACCCGATGGTCACTCTGAATGCGCTCCAGAGTTCCTCTGTGGAGATGGGAGAACATTACAGAAGGACAACCATCTCTGCAGCACTCCACCAATTAGGCCTTTATGGTAGAGTGGCCAGACTGAAGCCACTCCTCAATAAAAGGCACAACAGCCCGCTTGGAGTTTGCCAAAAGGCACATAAAGACTCTGACCATGAGAAACAAGATTCTCTGGTCTGATGAAACCAAGATAGACTTGAGGCTGTATTCGCTGCCAAAGGTGCTTCTAAGTTCTAAAAACCTGTTTTTGCTTTGTCATTATGGGGTATTGTGTGTAGATTGATGAGGGAAAAAAACAATTTCATCCATTTTAGAATAAGGCTGTAACGTAACAAAATGTGTCAAGGGGTCTGAATACTTTCCGAATGCACTGTATGAATTTGTTTTACTGAAGGACTGGTCTGTTTGCGCTCTGTTGTAAAACTGTTGTTTGTCAGACATCAAGTGTACGGCGTCATTTTGAAACGAGACATGAGGAAAAACTTCAAAGATGAAGTGGACAAGGCTGAAGGAATCACGAGGGCCGTGTACAGGTATGAAAAGCAAAGTAGTGTGTTTACAAATCTACATGCAGTCAAAAATTGAGCACAAAGTTGCGCTGCGCATTGCTAAACATGGAAAACAATTTATTAATTGGGAATATATCAAGGAGGCTTTCCTCAGTAGTTCACAGGCTTTATTTGATGGAGGGCCTAACAAAGACACAATAATATGAAAGATAAAAGACATGCATGTGTCTGCCAGAACTGTTGAAAGGCGCGTTACCGAGATGGTTGAAAATGTAAAGGAGAAGCAAACTGTAGCATTAAAAGATGCACCTGTGTTTAGTGTGGCTCTTGATGAGAGTGTGGATGTGAATGACATTCCACGTCTGGCAGCTGTTGCAAGATACTGTGACTCAGAGCAGGTACGTGAGGAGCTGCTTTGTCCAAGACGCATGCATGGTACTACTAAAGGGGAAGATGTAGCAAAAGCCTTCACAGATCATTTTGAGGAGAGAGGTGTCGATATTAAAAACATACTCGCTATTACAACTGACGGTGCCCCCGCTATAGTGGGGAAACATAAAGGACTCACAAAGCTGATTGAAGAGAAGATTGTCCACCCCGTGGTTAAATGTCACTATCATTCACCAAGATAATCTGTGTTCCAAGCCTGTGGTACTAATGGACAGTACCCTCTGTTAAGCGAGCTATGGAATTCTTCCGTTTGTAGACAATCAGATATTCAATAGACACAATTAGTTGTAATGCACATATGAAAACCATAACTGGCACGCAGATCATTAGAAATGGTAGGATAAATTGTAAATTGGCACTCCACACAAAAAAAGGTTGCCGACCCCTGCTGCACATCATAAAATATTCCAAAACGTGTAACTAGTTTGCAATATGGCACGAAAGTAAAACTGCAAAAAATGTGGCAAAGAAATTAACTTTATGTCCTGAATACAAAGTGTTATGTTTGGGGCAAATCCAACAACACATCACTGAGTACCACTCTTCATATTTTCAAGCAGGGTGGTGGCTGCATCATGTTATGAGTGTGCTTGTCATCGGCAAGGACTAGGGAGTTTTTTAGGATAAAAATTAATGGAATAGAGCTAAGCACAGGCAAAATCCTAGAGGAAAACCTGGTTCAGTCTGATTTCCAACAGACACTGGGAGACAAATTCACCTTTCAGCAGGACAATAACCTAAAACACAAGGCCAAATATACACTAGAGTTGCTTACCAAGACGACATTGAATGTACCCGAGTGGCCTTGTTACGGTTTTGACTTAAATCGGCTTAAATCTATGTCAAGACTTGAAAATGGCTGTCTAGCCATTATCAACAACCAACTTGACACAGCTTGAAGAATGTTAATTTAAAATTTTTTATGTGCAAATAGTGTACAATCCAGGTGTGCAAATCTCTTACAGTGAGGGAAAAAAGTATTTGATCCCCTGCTGATTTTGTACTTTTGCCCACTGACAAAGAAATTATCAGTCTATAATTTTAATGGTAGGTTTATTTGAACAGTGAGAGACAGAATAACAACTAAAAAATCCAGAAAAACGCATGTAAAAAATGTTATAAATTGATTTGCATTTTAAATGAGGGAAATAAGTATTTGACCCCTCTGCAAAACATGACTTAGTACTTGGTGGCAAAACCCTTGTTGCCAATCACAGAGGTCAGACGTTTCTTGTAGTTGGCCACCAGGTTTGCACACATCTTAGGAGGGATTTTGTCCCACTCCTCTTTGCAGATCTTCTCCAAGTCATTAAGGTTGAGGCTGACGTTTGGCAACTCGAACCTTCAGCTCCCTCCACAGATTTTCTATGGGATTAAGGTCTGGAGACTGGCTAGGCCACTCCAGGACCTTAATGTGCTTCTTCTTGAGCCACTCCTTTGTTGCCTTGGCCGTGTGTTTTGGGTCATTGTCATGCTGGAATACCCATCCACGACCCATTTTCAATGCCCTGGCTGAGGGAAGGAGGTTCTCACCCAAGATTTGACGGTACATGGCCCCGTCCATCGTCCCTTTGATGCGGTGAAGTTGTCCTGACCCCTTAGCAGAAAAACACCCCCAAAGCATAATGTTTCCACCTCCATGTTTGACGGTGGGGATGGTGTTCTTGGGGTCATAGGCAGCATTCATCCTCCTCCAAACACGGCGAGTTGAGGATGCCAAAGAGCTCGATTCTGGTCTCATCTGACCACAACACTTTCACCCAGTTCTCCTCTGAATCATTCAGATGTTCATTGGCAAACTTCAGACGGCCCTGTATATGTGCTTTCTTGAGCAGGGGGACCTTGCGGGCACTGCAGGATTTCAGTCCTTCACGGCGTAGTGTGTTACCAATTGTTTTCTTGGTGACTATGGTCCCAGCTTCCTTGAGATCATTAACAAGATCCTCCTGTGTAGTTCTGGGCTGATTCCACACCGTTCTCATGATCATTGCAACTCCACGAGGTGAGATCTTGCATTGAGCCCCAGGCCGAGGGAGATTGTGTTTCTTCCATTTGCGAATAATCGCACCAACTGTTGTCACCTTCTCACCAAGCTGCTTGGTGATGGTCTTGTAGCCCATTCCAGCCTTGTGTAGGTCTACAATCTTGTCCCTGATATCCTTGGAGAGCTCTTTGGTCTTGGCCATGGTGGAGAGTTTGGAATCTGTTTGATTGATTGCTTCTGTGGACAGGTGTATTTTATACAGGTAACAAGCTGAGATTAGGAGCACTCCCTTTAAGAGTGTGCTCCTAATCTCAGCTCTTTACCTGTATAAAAGACACCTGGGAGCCAGAAATCTTTCTGATTGAGAGGGGGTCAAATACCTATTTCCCTCATTAAAAAGCAAATCAATTTATAACATTTTTGACATGCGTTTATCTGGATTTTGTTGTTATTCTGTCTCTCACTGTTCAAATAAACCTACCATTAAAATTATAGACTGATCATTTCTTTGTCAGTGGGCAAATGTACAAAATCAGCAGGGGATCAAATACTTTTTTCCCTCACTGTAAGAGACTTACTCAGAAAGACTCAAAGCTGTAATCGCTGCCAAAAGTGATTTTAACTGTATTGACTCAGGGGTGTGAATACTTATGTTAATGAGATGTTTGTCTTTTATTTTCAATATATTTGCCAAAAATTCTAAAAACATGTTTTCACTTTGTCATTATGGGGTATTGTGTGTTGATGGTTGAGAAAGAAAATACATTTTATAAATGTTGAATTCAGGCTGTAACACAACAAATGTAGAATAAGTCAAGGGGTATAAATACTTTCTGAAGGCACTGTATATATTTTAAGCCAGCCTGATTGGTTGGGCCAGTATTCGCCTCTGCCTCACCCAGAGAGGTATACTACAATTGAAGCAAGGGTTTTCTAAAGCTAGCCAGCTTCAGTTAGCTTCACATTCCAGCTCAGGCTTCATCAATACTACGTCGGAGGATATTGCTCCTCCGCCTACCGCTAATCTAGCAGGCTTGTAACTGCTCATGCATGTCGCACGTGGCTAGTCGAATGCCAAACTCTTCATTGAGACAATGCTGAAACATCAATCCATGGGCGAGTCAGTGCCACATTTTCATTTGTGCTGAAATGAAAGAAAAGTTATCTTGCAAATTCAGCAGCCTAAGGTGTGAAATAGGCTTGTTGAAGTGACTTATTACTTATCATTAATGGTGTGCTCATGAATCCACGTGCACCTTTTTTCCCCAAAATAATTGTATTAAGTCAAGTTTTACTGTGTGAAGTTTCAAATGCATTCTGTTATTACTAAATGTGCAATGTGATAGGTATTTTAACATTACATTTTTTTAGCAAACAAACCATTTCATTAACAGATTATTCAATCAGTAGTCTTCCTCAAATGAAGGGCATGATGACGGTCCTCAACCCGCGGCTCACATTCAGGATAAATGGAGTTAGTCCTGTGTTAGCCTGCCCTGGAGCAGGTTAGTTCTGAAGGATTCATTGCCATAGAAATGTACCTGAATAAAAGGTGAGCCACTTTCGTGGTACAGGTTATCCCGAGTTGAACTCAGTTGACCAAAGTTACCTCGCTAACTGCTCAAACCACGTACGTAGGATAGGGCTCCGGTCTTTTTTCACTAAACGACACTGTGGTGACTCACCCTCCTCATCTACAGCCATCACGGCTGCCCCCCGGCTGAGCAGCACCTGCACCACCGTAGCCAGACCATTCCTCGCTGCGATATGAAGGGGCCTGAGGAGGAAGAGGGGAGAGATAAGGGATAGACAGTCAACAGACCACCTGGGTAAACAAATCGCTAGGTTTTATGGTGTTATATACAGCCCCAGCTTCAACTCTAACTTATCCCAACTCCTGGAGTTACAGTGAGGGAAAAAAGTATTTGATCCCCTGCTGATTTTGTACGCTTGCCCACTGACAAAGACATGATCAGTCTATAATTTTAATGGTAGGTTTATTTGAACAGTGAGAGACAGAATAACAACAAAAAAATCCAGAAAAACACATGTCAAAAATGTTATAAATTGATTTGCATTTTAATGAGGGAAATAAGTATTTGACCCCTCTGCAAAACATGACTTAGTACTTGGTGGCAAAACCCTTGTTGGCAATCACAGAGGTCAGACGTTTCTTGTAGTTGGCCACCAGGTTTGCACACATCTCAGGAGGGATTTTGTTCCACTCCTCTTTGCAGATCTTCTCCAAGTCATTAAGGTTTCGAGGCTGACGTTTGGCAACTCGAACCTTCAGCTCCCTCCACAGATTTTCTATGGGATTAAGGTCTGGAGACTGGCTAGGCCACTCCAGGACCTCAATGTGCTTCTTCTTGAGCCACTCCTTTGTTGCCTTGGCCGTGTGTTTTGGGTCATTGTCATGCTGGAATACCCATCCACGACTCATTTTCAATTCCTTGGCTGAGGGAAGGAAGTTCTCACCCAAGATTCGACGGTACATGGCCCTGTCCATCGTCCCTTTGATGCGGTAAAGTTGTCCTGTCCCCTTAGCAGAAAAACACCCCCAAAGCATAATGTTTCCACCTCCATGTTTGACGGTGGGGATGGTGTTCTTGGGGTCATAGGCAGCATTCCTCCTCCTCCAAACACGGCGAGTTGAGTTGATGCCAAAGAGCTCGATTTTGGTCTCATCTGACCACAACACTTTCACCCAGTTCTCCTCTGAATCATTCAGATGTTCATTGGCAAACTTCAGACGGCCCTGTATATGTGCTTTCTTGAGCAGGGGGACCTTGCGGGCACTGCAGGATTTCAGTCCTTCACGGCGTAGTGTGTTACCAATTGTTTTCTGGGTGACTATGGTCCCATCTGCCTTGAGATCATTGACAAGATCCTCCCGTGTAGTTCTGGGCTGATTCCACACCGTTCTCATGATCATTGCAACTCCACGAGGTGAGATCTTGCATGGAGCCCCAGGCCGAGGGAGATTGACAGTTATTTTGTGTTTCTTCCATTTGCGAATAATCGCACCAACTGTTGTCACCTTCTCACCAAGCTGCTTGGCGATGGTCTTGTAGCCCATTCCAGCCTTGTGTAGGTCTACAATCTTGTCCCTGACATCCTTGGAGAGCTCTTTGGTCTTGGCCATGGTGGAGAGTTTGGAATCTGATTGATTGATTGCTTCTGTGGACAGGTGTCTTTTCTACAGGTAACAAGCTGAGATTAGGAGCACTCCCTTTAAGAGTGTGCTCCTAATCTCAGCTCGTTACCTGTATAAAAGACACCTGGGAGCCAGAAATCTTTCTGATTGAGATGGGGTCAAATACTTATTTCCCTCATTAAATTGCAAATCAATTTATAACATTTTTGACATGCATTTTTCTGGATTTTGTTGTTGTTATTCTGTCTCTCACTGCTCAAATAAACCTACCATTAAAATTATAGACTGATCATTTCTTTGTCAGTGGGCAAACGTACAAAATCAGCAGGGGATCAAATACTTTTTTCCCTCACTGTAGGAGTTACACAGTTTGAGAGTTGGAAAGGGCTGAGAGAGCTGAAGCTGGGGTTTTCTACAGTGTTGAACAGTGTCTTTAATGAAAGGCTGAGTAGCTGACATGACGGCTCACATTTGCAGTGCACTGTTTGTTGCATTGATGAGGGAGGGGTCGCTGATCTCTCCCAGGATTAACAGGGCACACATCTCATGAGCCTGCCGGAGAAAACACATTAAGTAAGTAAGCCTTGTCGAAACCAGAACGGCCCATAGAGCAGGAGCCTATCTTCTGTCCCTGTAGCGTGAGGCAGCTTGATGTACAAGTTCCCCCTGGACAGTACACCAGTCTGCCGCCGGGAAACACTAGGACTGGAACATGGAGAAACTCTTATGGAAACACACATGCCATTTCCCTGCCACCTAATTTGTGCTTTGGTATCAACAGTAATACAAATTAGCAATCTGAGGGATAAAGCACTTTTTCCAATGATATGTGGATCTGTCATGACTTTGCCTGCTGGTTTCCTGTATAGTTGATAGAGGCCAGAGTTCTTAAATAACTTGGGATGTGTATTTGGCTACAGTGGGTCAGAATTCAAAATAACAGTGGGTCATGTGTCAGCTAGGTGTATGATGGAGTGTCTGGCCTTGCTACAGGACTGAGTGACCGAGTGAGTGAGTAAGGATGGGCATTTTAAATGTTTTGACAGTTCGAGTACTTGCATGATTTTTTTTTCAAGAACTCGATTGAGTACTATTTTTAGAACACAGAACACACTGTAAAACAATTTGCGCATTTACCTACAGGTAACTGACAAAATAATGGAAACACTTGAGTAAATGAGGGATACAAAGTATACTGAGAGCAGGTGCTTCCACACAGGTGTGGTTCCTGGGTTAATTAAGCAATTAATTCCAGGTGAAAGCTATGATACCTTAGTGATGTCACCTGTTAAATCCACCTCAATCAGTGTAGATGAAGGAGGATTTCTAAGCCTTGAGACATGGATTGTGTATGTGTGCCTTTCAGAGGGTGAATGGGCAAGACAAAAGATTTAAGTGCTTTTGAACGGGGTATTGTAGTAGGTGCCAGGCGCACCGGTTTGTGTCAAGAACTGCAACGCTACTGGGTTTTTCACGCTCAACAGTTCCCTGTGTGTAAAGAAGGGTCCACCACCCAAAAGACATCCAGCAACTTGACACAACTGTGGGAAGCATTGGAGTCAACATGGGCCAGCATCCCTGTGGAACGCTTTCGACACCTTGTAGTCCATGCCCCGACGAATTGAGGCTGTTCTGAGGGAAGGGGGGTGGGGGTTGGTATACTCAGTGTATATTCAGTCGATACAAAAAAACAAGTGCCATTTAAGATTCATTATTTAACCCATAAGTCTAAGCCGGGGGAGGGGGGTACTACTAAGCTATATGGTTTTGATTTTGAATTTTAAGACCCCTTGAAGTATAAAGAAAATGTTATGATCAAACATTTTATTTGGCCTTACTACTATTAGCCCATACAAACTCATTGAATAACATATTCACTACATGGAGCAACAGATAGTCCCCCCCCCCCCAAAACAAAATTTCAAGGAAGTTTGTTCTGAAGTGTCTATCATACAAAAAATATATATATATATTTTGTGAGAAGACTGATTTTCAGGATGTCTCATGGTGTGACAAACACCATTCTAGCTCTGTCACCTTTCACCGCAGACGCGGAAGTGTTACATAGGCGGTGGATTGAGACGCATCCAATGCAAAAAACAGATCTCTAGCTTAAACTGACATATTTTTATGGGGATATTTGTATTATGCTAATTCGATTTCTGCGGGGGCACAGGCATTAACCTTAGGGGGTTAAACTGTAATATCAACTGGTTATATTATATTGTGGAAAACAATCTTCAAAAAGTCAGTAACCTCAGCAGTGGCGCTTGCAGAAGCCCATTGCTGTGCCCAACCCCTTCAAAAAAAATATTATATACACACATATATATATATATATATATATATATATATATATATATATATATATATATACACACATATACATACACACACACACACAGTGGGGAGAACAAGTATTTGATACACTGCCGATTTTGCAGGTTTTCCTACTTACAAAGCATGTAGAGGTCTGTAATTTTTATCATAGGTACACTTCAACTGTGAGAGACGGAATCTAAACATCACATTGTATGATTTTTAAGTAATTAATTTGCATTTTATTGCATGACATAAGTATTTGATACATCAGAAAAGTAGAACTTAATATTTGGTACAGAATGGCGGAGTGGGCCAAAATCCCTGCTGCAGTGTGTGCAAACCTGGTCAAGACCTACAGGAAACGTATGATCTCTGTAATTGCAAACAAAGGTTTCTGTACCAAATATTAAGTTCTGCTTTTCTGATGTATCAAATACTTATGTCATGCAATAAAATGCATATTAATTACTTAAAAATCATACAATGTGATGTTTAGATTCCGTCTCTCACAGTTGAAGTGTACCTATGATAAAAATTACAGACCTCTACATGCTTTGTAAGTAGGAAAACCTGCAAAATCGGCAGTGTATCAAATACTTGTTCTCCCCACTGTATATAATGCATTCAGGTGAGAAGCTGCTCATAAATATTGATTTTGGGGGTGGGTAAACGTATACTGAACAAAAATATAAACGCAACATGCAACAATTTCAAAGATTTTACTGAGTTAAAGTTCATATAAGGAAATCAGTCAATTTAAATAAATAAATTAGGCCTTAATCTATGGATTTCACATGACTGGGAATACAGATTTTGGTCACAAATACCTTTAAAAAAAAGTAGGGGCTTGGATCAGAGCATCCCAAACATGCTTAATAGGTGACATGTCTGGTGAGTATGCAGGCCATTGAAGAACTGGGACATTTTCAGCTTCAAGGAATTGTGTACAGATCCTTGCGACATGGGGTAGTGCATTATCATGCTGAAACATGAGGTGATGGTGGCGGATGAATGGCACGACAATGGGCCTCAGGATCTCTTCACGGTATATCTCTGTGCTTTCAAATTGCCATAGATAAAATGCAATCGTTTTCGTTGTCCATAGCTTATACCTGCCCATACCATAACCCCACCGTCACCATGGGGCTCTGTTCACAACATTGACATCAGCAAATCGCTCACCCACACGACGCCATACACGTGGTATGTGGTTGTGAGGCCGGTTGGACGTACTGCCAAATTCTCCAAAACGACATTGGAGATGGCTTATGGTAGAGAAATGAACATCCAATTATCTGGCAACAGCTCTGGTGGACATTCCTGCAGTCAGCATGCCAATTGCACACTCCCTCAAAACTTGAGACATCTGTGGCATTGTGTTGTGTGACAAAACTGCACTTTGTAGTGGCCTTTAGTTGTCCCCAGCACAAGGTGCACCTGTGTAATGATCATGCTGTTTAATCAGCTTCTTGATATGCCACACCTGTCAGGTGGATGGATTATCTTGGCAAAGGAGAAATGCTCGTTAACAGGGATGTAATCAAATTTGTGCCCAAAATTTGTGAGAAATACGCTTCTTGTGCGTATGGAACATTTCTGGGATATTTTATTTCAGCTCATGAAACATGGGACCAACACTTTACATGTTGCGTTTATATTCTTGTTCAGTGTATAAAGTGTGTATGTGAAAACCATTTCTAAGATGCATACTTTCAGTTTTTCCAAACGCACTTCACTCGTGCATAAGAGGGAGGCTTATGCTACCGGTGCTGGCACATGCGCAGAACAAATACACCGCTGAGATGCCGATTAAGCTGTCCTAATTATTTGAAAGTTTGCTCAGAAAATCAGGTTTTGTAATTGGCGTATGCTTACTTAGTTTATGAACTTACGTCGATTCTGATAAGCAGAGTAAGGTGCTTACATTCAAAGACTCAATTATGGACACTCTTACTGACAGTTGTGGCTGCTTCGCATGATGTATTGTTGTCTCTATCTTCTTGCCTTTGTGCTGTTGTCTGTGCCCAATAATGTTTGTACCATGTTGTGATGCTACCATGTTGTTGTCATGTGGTGTTGCTACCATGCTGTGTTGTCATGTGTTGCTACCATGCTGTTGTTGTCTTAGGTCTCTCTTTATGTAGTGTTGTGGTGTCTCTCTTGTCGTGATGCATGTTTTGTCTAATATTTTTAATCCCAGCCCCCGTCCCGTAGGAGGCCTTTTGCCTTTTGGTAGGACGTCATTGTAAATAACAATTTGTTCTTAACTGATTTACCTAGTTAAATAAAGGTTAAATAAAAAATAAAATAAAACATGAATAATGCCATACTTGGCCTTTTGCCACAATCAGTTTAATATTGATTGAATAATAAGTGTGCATTTAAACTTACTCAATTATTCCAAAACTGCAGCTCGTTGTTGGAACACATATTTCCCTACCTCAATCAACTAGTGAATGTAGCTTGTGTATGTATCCCATCTGTTAGATACGTTTTTAATAGGCATTTATTTCTGTGGGCCTAACGGGATCGTGTAAGCACGTGTGTGTAGAGGGATTGGTCGGAGCGCGACAGAGAGAGACACGGAGGGGAAAGGGAATTTAGGGAGAAGAACTGTTTGATGCTTGGCTTGGTTTCCTTTTTGTTGTGCCCTGCAACTGCACATGTCCAAATGAAACACTAGAGTCAAAGCAATTTAACATTGTCTTAAAGACCCCCAAAAAAATATACATTCGGGACAAAATGTCACTTGCCCGTTAGGGCAGCCACAAAGCACATTCCACCAAATTGTAAAAATAACAAAAATGTAATTCCTGGTTAAAGAAATAGTTTTGACATCCGTTTGAGTACTCATGCCTATGAGTGAGTGAGCGATCAACCATGCATGCGTCTCACCTTGCTGCAGGCCAAGTGAAGGGCGGTGTTGTCGTTGACATCCAGCAGGGTCAGGTCTGCCTTGGCCTGGTGCAGCAGGATCTCTGTTGGGTTCACACATCTCTCACAATTACACATCATCAGTATCATCATCATTGTTAGGCTGCAGAACAGTCCACAACAGGCTTCCTCCAGTTGCTATGGTCACTAGCAAGGTTTGCTATTTGATGTGGTGTCCACAATTACACAGTTCATAAATATATTTAATAAATTAATATAAAATAAAACATGACATATACCAAACTAATAAGACCACTAAATGGTCAGTTCTCATATTTACTGGATCAATGATCACATTTCCTCATCTCACCGACAGCTGCAGTCTGTCCGTTGTCGGCCGCAACCATCAACGCGGAGTGTCCGGTGGTGTCCACCGCATTGACCTCTGCCCCCTGGACCAGGGCCAGCTGCAGCCCGGCCACACTTTCTGAATAGGCAGCTGCGTGCAACGGGGTCCTTCAGGCACAGCCCAGGGCAGCCACAACCAGGCAGACAGACAGGTAAGCAACAGTGGCAAGCTGCAATACAGTAGACTAGAAAGAGCTCTGTACGAAAAGGCATAGGAAGAAACTCAAAATAGAAATGACACGCACCTTCCTTTGGCGTCTCTGAAGTTCACCATCTGAGTTCCAACGGTCTCTACCAGTAGTTCAGCAGCACCATCATGGCCATTTATTCTGGAAAGGAAGAAGAAAACATCCTCCATCTCTCTTATCAAAAAGAACAGCAACATTCTGATGGATTCAATGCCAGAGCTGATCAACCGATAGCTCTGAAAATCATACAATACAGAAACCTAAAAGTAGTGCTGTTGGATTATTAAGAAATGTTTACCGTTATCGATTTTTATTTGTTTATTTTTTATTAAATGCACTATGCATTATGTGGGTTGAATACTGTAACACAGAATAAAACAATGAATAAAAGTCCCATGATGGTAGTGACAGCCCATTACTGCTTATCACATATTAACAATAATTTATTCACGACTTTAATAAAAGATTTCAGTTGTGTATTTTACATTTGTTTTACTTGATGACTATTATTTCATTCCAAGTCATCATCTCATCTCTATACAGTGCCTTGCAAAAGTATTCACCCCCCTTGGCATTTTTCCTATTTTGTTGCATTACAACCTGTAATTTAAATGGATTTTATTTGGATTTCATGTAATGGACATACACAAAATAGTCAAAATTGGTGAAGTGAAATGATTTTTTTTGTTTGTTTCAAAACATTTTAATAAATAAATAACAGAAAAGTGTTGCGTGCGCTATGAAGCCCCTAAATAAGATCTGGTGCAACCAATTACCTTCAGAAGTCACATAATTAGCTAAATAACGTCCACCTGTGTGCAATCTAAGTGTCACATGATCTGTCACATGATCTCAGTATATATACACACACCTGTTCTGAAAGGCCCCAGAGTCTGCAACACCGCTAAGCAAGAGGCACCACCAAGCAAGCGGCACCATGAAGACCAAGGAGCTCTCCAAACAGGTCAGGGACAAATTTGTGGAGAAGTACATATCAGGGTTGGGTTATAAAAACATATCAGAAACTTTGAACATCCCACGGAGCACCATTAAATCCATTATTAAAAAAATGGAAAGAATATGGCACCACAACAAACCTGCCAAGAGAGGGCCACCCACCAAAACCCACGGACCAGGCAAGGAGGGCATTAATCAGAGAGGCAACAAAGACACCAAAGATAACCCTGAAGGAGCTGCAAAGCTCCACAGTGGAGATTGTAGTATCTGTCCATAGGACCACTTTAAGCCGTACACTCCACAGAGCTGGGCTTTACGGAAGAGTGGCCAGAAAATGCCATTGCTTAAAGAAAAAAATAAGCAAACACATTTGGTGTTCGCCAAAAGGCATGTGGGAGACTCCCCAAACATATGGAAGAAGGTACTCTGGTCAGATGAGACTAAAATTTAGCTTTTTGGCCATCAAGGAAAATGTTATGTCTGGAGCAAACTCAACACCTCTCAACACCCCGAGAACTCTTCCATTTTTCATTGGCAGGGACTGGGAAACTTGTCAGAACTGAAGGAATGATGGATGGTGCTAAATAAAGGGACATTCTTGAGGGAAACCTGTTTCAATCTTCCAGAGATTTTGAGACTGGGACGGAGGTTCACCTTCCAGCAGGACAATGACCCTAAGCATACTGCTAAAGCAACACTTGAGTGGTTTAAGGGGAAACATTTAAATGTCTTGGAATGGTCTAGTCAAAGCCCAGACCTCAATCCAATTGAGAATATGTGGTATGACTTAAAGATTGCTGTACACCAGCAGAACCCATCCAACTTGAAGGAGCTGGAGCAGTTTTGCCTTGAAGAATGGGCAAAAATCCCAGTGGCTAGATGTGCCAAGCTTATAGAGACATACCATAAGAGACCTGCAGCTCTAATTGCTGCAAAAGGTGGCTCTACAAAGTATTGACTTTGGGGGGGGGTGAATAGTTATGCACTCAAGTTCTGTTTTTTTGTCTTATTTCTTGTTAGTTTCACAGTAAAAAATCAATTTTAATTCCAGGTTGTAAGGCAACAAAATAGGAAAAATGCCAAGGGGGGTGAATACTTTCGCAAGCCATTGTAGAGCTGCTGCCTATGCTGTCTGACAAAATCACAATTTTACTAGTTCTTCAAAGTAAATAAGGCATACATTTATGACTGCTGAATACCAACTATCAATCACTTAGAGAGTTTCCCAACTCCGGTCATATAGTACCCCCAAAAGTACGCATCCAAAACTCGAGCTTTGATAACAAAATTGATCGGTTGGTGTAGCACTAGCAAGGCACAGCTGAGCATAAATTGAAATAATTAGCTTTTTTATTTTACTGGACTAATGGTACCTGCATCTCATGGTCATGGTACTTTCAAGACAACTGGGAACTCTGAAAAAACAAGGTCAAATCAAGATGTCAGTGAACTTCAGGTCAGAAATTCAGAGCTCTAGAAAGATGCCAGAGTTTCCGAGTTGGATGACCGTTCAAAACGATTTCCCCCCCCCCCAGAGTTCCCAGTTATCTTGAACGCACTGAAGTCGGAAATTTCAGAGTTCCCAGTTGTTTTGAACACGGCATTAGTCTCAGTGGAGGGAGGGAGAGAGCAGCAGAGGGTCCGCCAATGCTCTCTCCTTTCTTTCCTCCAGTGAGACTGACCAGAGAGAGGGGACACAGTCTTCCACCTGATGGCGAAACGTAAGTCGCACCGCATCTGCCTCAAACACAAATTCATGTTTCTATGCCAGAGAAAGTGAAATATTCCTCGATATTAAAATAGACACTACCAGCTGCTACTAATAATAAAAACGCAGTTTTTTTCAGACAAATCAAATCGTTCGAAATGGGAACACTTTGCCTACCCGGGGCGTAGGTCTTCTGATTCAAGTATACCTACAGCCAACAGCACAACATAAAGCAAAACAAAGGAGCGCAAGCCTTTATGCCTTTATCGCTGGCTTTTCTACAGAAATGTTTGGTGATCGACTAGGAATGCCTCGAAGATCGACCGGTTGGTGACCACTGATGTAGAATAGTGGCCTGTTGGAAACTACAACTCCCTACTAAATCGCACAGTTCGGGTTTGATCTGATTTCTAAAAGAGAAACTGCAGTGAGAAAATGCGCATTGAGCTCACAGAAGAAAACGAAATGGAATTAAAATAATTGAACGGATGTTGGAAAAATAACTAACATTTCTTTTAATTGCTCAGCACTACCTAGAAAGGCTGGGGGAACCAGTCGTGGTACTCACAGAGCACAGTGCAATGGGGTGAAGGGGTTTCCTTCCTGGATGCTAAATGGTTTGTGTTCAAGTAAAACATCCAAACAGTCCTCGTGCCCTGAAAGAGTAAAAATATGTGAGTCAGACAACGGTTCACAGCTTAGAAGCAACGAGTTCTCGCCATGCCATCTAGCCAAAGCCCATACTTTGTGAGTTATTCACCACGGTTATTTGTAGCCTCTCCATGAAGGTGTGCATGTCTCACCGTGGTAGGCGGCCCAGTGGGCGGGGGTGTATCCACTGTAGTCCAACATGGAGTCGAGGGGGTCGGTGCTTGTGGCACCCTGCAGCAGGCTGCGCAGGAGCTCCATGTGGCCGCAGGAGGCGGCCAGGTGCAGGGGTGTGCGTCCCCGGGAATCCCTGCACAGAGCAGAGGCCCCGTGCTCGAGCAGGGCCGACACACAGTCCTCACAGCCCATCGCCGCCTGGAGGAAGAGACAGAAAGAGTTAGAGAGGCAGAACCCATCACTGCCAAGAGGAAGAAAGGACAAAAAAAGGAGAGAGAAGAGGAAGGAAAGAAGAAGAGAAGAGGAGAGAAAGAGAGAGAGAAAGAGAAGAACAGAGGAAAGAGTTAACGTTTTTGGACCATCACAGTAGGTGAATGGTTGTTAATCTGCAGTATAACATTTTTAAAAAACTAATTTGGGACACCCCCCCCCCGAGATTGGGCAGATAGAACATTATATACACATGGTGGGGACACTCACAGCTCTGTGTAGGGCAGTGCGGCCTCTCTTGTCGGCGGTGTCAGCCCCGGCTCCCTTCTCCAGCAAGATGTAGACACAGTCAGTGTGACTGCCCAGAGCTGCCAGCATCAGAGCCGTCCTGCACACACACACACACACGTGGTTTTAAACAAAAATAACCAGTAGGTCAAAACAGGGAACCCTCTACTAGAGAATTGTTGTTAAAAAATTGTTGTTGCTGGCATTGTAGGAAACTAGAAAATCCTCTATCCTTCCATTCTAGTGGGTGCACAATGTTCAATATTCAAGAAATGAATGACAGTCACTCACTGTCCCTGTACGTCGACGAAATCGATGACATCAGCCTTCTCACCTCGGTTGACCAGCATGAGCAGACAGTCTGCTTGGCCATTGGAAGCTGGAGATGTTGACGGAGACAGTCAAATATTGAGACAAGCACACACAATGAAGAGCAGGGAGAATGTAACACAGAGAGGAGTGAAAATATTATTATATGCTCACACACATACAAACACCAAGTGGATCAGAAACTAACAACCACCCCATAGAGTGGAACACACACACACCTGCGACGTGAAATGGGGTCCACTTGCGGCGGCGCTCCTTCAGGCGGCAGGAGGCCCCGTGGGACAGCAGTACCTCCACGCACTGAGCATGTCCCCGTTGGGCTGCCAGGTAGAGGGCGGTGCGCCCCCCCGCGTCCCGAACGTCCAGACTCACCAGTGTCTCAGACAACACCCCCAACGCCTCACAGTGACCGTTATACGCCTGGGTGGGGGAAAGGGCAGGGAATACAAGATTGTGAGAATGGCAGTGGGTCACTGTGTTAATGGGATATTTATTTCACTCTAACTTCAGAACCAGCACCTCACAACAGTTCAACTGAAGAGTGTGAGAATGGGGGTCAGGGGGATAAATGTGTCAAGGAATTGGGTGACTGTGTTAAATGGATAGTTAGTTCACTCCAACTTTGAACTAGCACTGTAGAACAAAGAGGGGGCCGTAATTAAAACTAATGTAATGGGTTAATCTGAAGTTAAACCAATCTATTTCAACTAATAGACAGTAAAGTGAAATGGAACCTCGGCCAGAGGAAACGAGGCTAAGCGGGTGTACTGTACTCACGGCTAAGTGCAAAGGGCTAACTGGAACACTGCTCTCCACGTCTTCCAGACAGTTGAACGACATCTCCAAGAGCTGGGGGACAGAGGGACAAAGAGAGGAGTTTGCAACCTGTACACACCATTTGCTAAGATCCACTGCTCTTCCCAAAGGACGCCAGAAAATGGTACACGTTCACTTGAGTTTAGCCCTCTGAAGAGGAAGCAACAGTAAATGCTTTACCGACATCCAACAGCCAATCTCAACTCTTAAAAGGTGTGGCTGAAAAGACAACTTCATTACAAAAGGCCATTACCAGTTCCAAACCCTTACATTTAAGAACCATTTTGAAGTACAACTTTGGCTTCATCTTAATACTCTAAAATGATTTCCTTTCCTCTTCGTTATCTGCACTGATCTGAAAACAATGGCCTGGTGAAAGCGATATGGTTGGATGTCTACTAGGTCTTTGCCGTCAGTTGTCCTGTTCTTTCATAGTGCAGATGAAGACGAGGAGGGTAAGCCACTATTGAAATGCACCCATGATTCGGTCTCATTTTGCCAGTATGTCTGTAGCACGCACATGTGCACGCGCACACACACACCGGTAGTCCCTCCTCCCACTGACTCACCAGCTCCAGGTTCTGCTTGTTTCCGTGGGCTGCTGCATAATGGACTGCGCTGTAACCCTTGGTGTTCCTCAGAGCTGGGTCAGCCCCATTATCCAGCAGATACTCTAAACAACTACACATACAGAGGGTGAAGAGGACAGTCATGTTGTTATGTCAACCAACAAACTGTTGGATACACAACTACATCAACACAGAGGCCAATTGTGAAAGGTCAATCAACAAGCCGTCAAATAGATGGGCAGGTTAACCTTAAGTGCAAACCATTGCAGAAAATAATACATTTCTAAACGGTTTCCATCTTCTGAGACACCACAATGTTAGGGCTTGGTTAGTTTGCATGTTTTATGTTTGATCAAACTGAGACTAAATCATGGTAAGGGACTTACAAAAAGGCCTCCTTGGCCCTCTCCTCACTCTGGTGTCCGACTGAGTAATGTCTGTCCACTCTGAAACAAAAACAAAAAGTCAGTCGAATTTGGGGGTCTGATATCTTTTAGCCCCCCTGTGTGTGTTCTGTGTGTCTCACCGGCGGAAGGTCTGCGAGGCAGCGGCATAGTGCAGGGGGCTGCAGCCCTTCTGGTCCAGCTCGTTCACCTCGGCACCAGCACTCACCAGGGCAACCGTGCACTGGTAGCTCCCATTCGCCGCAGCGTAGTGCAAAGGAGCTCTGCCATGGGAGGGACGGGAGAGCAGAAGTCACACTCACAGGAGAAGATAATAAAATAGGATAGGATAGAATAGAACTCACTCAATGACAAAAACGTTATGGGGAAAAACACATTTGTTGAATTCTAGAATGAGACCACTCACCTTCCCAATTTGTCCTTAATACTCAAGTCAGCACCACTGCTCAACAGCAAGTTAAGACATTCAACGTTTCTGCCATCAAAGAGAGAACAGAAATACAAATGAGATTATTATACAACCACTACCAAAAAGCTCACTCTTCATTCAAAATGTGTGTGCACGCACGCTTACCCTCCAGAGGCAGCGGCGTGCAGGCAGGTCCTTCCCAAGCTGTCTGGGGTGTTTATGTCAAACCCGGCTGACAGCACGTGCTCGTTGCTCAGAGATGATACAATGCTGTACAGCTGACCTGCAGAAAGCACAACACAAAACAGGAAGTGATGTCATACGGGGTGACCACATTGGGAGGTCTGTTTCCTAACATGACACTGAATGACAAAAAGCAAGTACTTAAAGAATGTGTTGTATGTAAATGCCCTTTCACATTCTATCTGGTACAGCACTACTTAGGGTAATTTGAATGTACACTTCCATGAAACTTGATTAGTTTCAATCATACAAACAGTTTCCATGGCTGTCTAAAGGCTTACCTGAGGAAAGTAACTTGCGACAACAGTCTGAAAACCCGTAGAGCACAGCCAAATGCAACGGAAACATCCCATTAATCCCTTGCCTAGAGAGACCGAGAGCGACAGAGAGATGGATAGGGGAATATATGAGACAGGGAAAGAGATACAGTCCTGACAGCAGCTTCTCAAATATGTAATACACACAATGGTAACTATACTGAACAAAAATATAAAATGCAACAATTTCAAAGATTTTACTGAGTTAAAGTTCATATGATGAAATCAGTCAATTGAAATCAATTCATTAGGCCCAAATCTATGGATTTCACATGACTGGGAATACAGATATGCATCTGTTGGACACCACAGATACCTTAAAAGAACTGGGCCTCACAATGGGTCTCAGGTACTCGTCACAATATTTCTGTGCATTCAAATTGCCATCAATAAAATGTAATTGTGTTCGTTATCAGTAGCTTATGCCTGCCCATACCATAACCCCACCATGGGGCACTGTTCACAATGTTGACATCAGCAAACCGCTCGCCCACATGACGCCATACACGTGGTCTGCGGTTGTGTGGCCGGTTGGACGTGCTGCCAAATTCTCTAAAATGATGTTGAGGCGGCTTATGGCAGAGAAATTAACATTCAATTGTCTGGCAACAGCTCTGGTGGACATTCCTGTAGTCAGCATGCCAATTGCACGCTCCCTCAAAACTTGAGACATCTGTGGCATTGTGTTGTGTGACAAAACGGCACATTTTAGAGTGGCCTTTAATCATGCTGTTTAATCAGCTTCAGTGGATGGATTATCTTGGCAAAGGAGAAATGCTCACCAACATGGATGTAAACAAATTTGTGCACAACATTTTAGAGAAATCAGCTTTTTGTGCGTATGGAACATTTCTGGGATCTTTTATTTCAGCTTATGAAAAATGGGACCAACACTTTACATGTTGCGTTTATATTTTGGTTCAGTGTAGAAGAGATATGAGTTTTGCTGCTAGTTCTGTTGAGAGGTCCATTATGTTACATAAGCAATGGGAGAACTGATCCTCTGACATAATTCTCTCAGAAGAGACGTTATGCTTCTGCCATAAGGAATGTCTACACCAGACTTGTGTGTCTGTTCTGTCACTCACCTGATTGTGTGTGTGCGTGTGTCTCACCTGGCCGTGTCAGCACCGTTAGTCATCAGCGTGCTGATCAGCAGCTCGTGACCGTGCTTAGCAGCAACGTGAAGAGGAGTATTGCCATATTTATCTACACAGTCGATCTCCCCACCTGCACACAGAGGAGAGATAGAGGATGTGATTAGGGGCATAGAGGAGAATTGCACCATACTGTTTTTGACACAGTTATGAGATGACATCTGGCTGTCTGAGTTGTGGTTGCTGCTATTGGCTGGTGGGGATGAGTGTTGGGTATGTTTGGGTGGTGCGCTTCAATAGAAGTTTGTTCCCCGAAATACTGCAGGCACTTTTCGCAAACACCATATAATTGTGTAGTGTGTGATAATAGTGTTGTTTTTTATAATATCGCAAATATTACTATTATTTTGGATCTGTGTGTGGTTACCGTTTTGGATAAGGATCTGGGAGCGAGTGAAGCGCCCGTGAATAGCGGCCATGTGCAAAGGGCTCTTCCCTTCTTTGCTCTGTGAGAAAACAAACAAAAACAGTTATTTGATAAGAAAATAATTCATTACCTTAAATATCTCTGATGACTAAGACTGCGTCCCAAATTGCATTCCATATACACACATACAATGTCCTAATATTGAGTTGCACCCCCTTTTGCTCTCAGAACAGCCTCAATTTGTCGGGGCATGGACTCTACAAGGTATCAAAAGCATTCCACAGGGATGCTGGCCCATGTTGATGCCAATGCTTCCCACAGTTGTGTCAAATTCGCTGGATGTCCTTTGGGTGGTGGACCATTCTTGATACACACGGGAAACTGTTGAGCGTGATTAACCCAACTGCGTTGCAGTTCTTGAAACACACAAACCGGTGTGCCTGGCTGGCACCTACTACCATACCCCGTTCAAAGGCACTTCAATCTTTTGTCTTGCCCATTCACCCTCTGAATGGCACACATAAACAAACCATGTCGGAAGGATTAGAAATCCTTCTTTAACTTGTCTCCTCCCCTTCATCTACACTGATTGAAGAGGATTTAACAAGTGACATCAATAAGGGATCATAGACTGACCATTTGAAAGCTATGTCATGGAAAGAGAAGGTGTTCCTAATGTTTTGTACACTCATTGTGCTTGTAAATATACACACAAACAGTACATTCGGAAAGTATTCAGACCCCTTCTCCACATTTTGTTACGTTACACCCTTATTCGAAAATGGATAAAAATTAAAATCCTTAATCTACACACAATACCCCATAATGACAAAGCGAAAACAGGTTTTTAGAAATCATTGAAAATGTATTTTTTTAAAAGACAGCAATACCTTATTTACATCAGTATTCAGACCCTTTGCTTTGAGACTCTAAATTTAGCTCAGGTACATCCTGTTTCCATTGATCATCCTTGAGATGTTTCTACAACTTGATTGGAGTCCACCTGTGATCAATTAAATTGATTGGACATAATCTGGAAAGGCACACACCGGTCTACATAAAGGTCCCACAGCTGACAATGCATGTCAGAGCAAAGACCAAGCCATGAGGAGCGTCGAGGCACAGATATGGGGAAGGGTACCAAAAAGATTCTGCAGCATTGAAGATCCCGAAGAACACAGAGGCCTCCATCATTCTTAAATGGAAGAAGTTTGGAACCACCAAGACACTTCCTAGTTGGCCGCCCGGCCAAACTAAGCAATCGGGGGAGAAGGGCCTTGGTCAGGGAGGTGACCAAGAACCCGATGGTCACTGACAGAGCTACAGAGTTCCATTGTGGAGATAGGAGAACATTCCAGAAAGACAACCATCTCTGCAGCACTCCACCAATCAGGCCTTTATGGTGGGAGTGGCCAGATGGAAGCCACTCCTCAGTAAAAACACATGACAGCCCACTAGGAGTTTTCCAAAAGGCACCGTAAAGGACTCCCACCTAAAGGACTCTCAGACCATGAGAAACAAGATTCTCTGGTCTGATGAAACCAAGATTGAACTCTTTGGCCTGAATGCCAAGCGTCACGTCTGGAGGAAACCTGGCAACATCGCTACGGTGAAGCATGGTGGTGGCAGCATCATGCTGTTGGGATGTTTTTCAGCGGCAGGGACTGGGAGACTAGTCAGGATCGAGGGAAAGATGAACGGAGCAAAGTACAGAGAGATCCTTGATGAAAACCTGCTCCAGAGCGCTCAGGACCTCAGACTGGGTTGAAGGTTCACCTTCCAACAGGACAACGACCCTAAGCACACAGCCAAGACAACGCTGGAGTGGCTTCGGGACAAGTCTCTGAATGTCCTTGAATGTCCCGGCCCAGCCAGAGCCCAGACTTGAACCCGATCGAACATCTCTGGAGAGACCTGAAAATAGTTGCAAAGAAAAAGCCATATCTCAGACTGGCCAATAAAAATAAAAGATTAAGATGGGCAAAACACAGACACTGGACTTTTTCTTTGCAACTCTGCCTAGAAGGTCAGCATCCCGGAGTCGCCTCTTCACTGTTGACGTTGAGACTGGTGTTTTGCGGGTACTATTTAATGAAGCTGCCAGTTGAGGACCTGTGAGGCGTCGGTTTCTCAAACTAGACACTAATATATTTGTCCTCTTGCTCAGTTGTGCACCGGGGCCTCCCACTCCTCTTTCTATTCTGGTTAGAGCCAGTTTGCGCTATTCTGTGAAGGGAGTAGTACACAGCGTCTCAAGAAGGCCAGTTTTATTGCTTCTTTAAATCAGCACTACAGTTTTCAGCTGTGCTAACATAATTGCAAAAGGGTTTTCTAATGATTAATTAGCCTTTTAAAATGATAAACTTGGATTAGCAAACAACGTGCCATTGGAACACAGGACTGATGGTTTCTGATAATGGGCCTCTGTACGCCTATGTAGATATTCCATTAAAAAATCAGCCGTTTCCAGCTACAATAGCCATTTACAACATGAACAATGTCTACAATGTATTTCTGATAATAATAATAATAATAATAATAATAATAATAATAATAATAATATGCCATTTAGCAGACGCTTTTATCCAAAGCGACTTACAGTCATGCGTGCATACATTTTTGTGTATGGGTGGTCCCGGGGATCGAACCTACTACCTTGGTGTTACAAGCGCCGTGCTCTACCAGCTGATCAATTTGATGTTATTTTAATGGACAAAAAATGTGCTTTTCTTTCGAAAACAACAACATTTCTAAGTGACCCCAAACTTTAGAACGGTAGTATATTTCTAGGTATGTGTTTGGGTAAAATTAACATTTAGTTTTTATTCTATAAACTACTGACAACATTTCTCCCAAATTCCAAATAAAAATATTGTCATTTAGAGCATTTATTTGCAGAAAAATGACAACTGGTCCAAAAAAAAAAAAAAAAGATGCAGTGTTGTCAGACCTCGAATAATGTAAAGAAAATAAGTTCATGTTCATTTTTAAACAACACATTACTAATGTTTTAACTTAGGAAGAGTTCAGAAATCAATATTTGGTGGAATAACCCTGATTTTCAATCACAGCTTTCATGCGTCTTGGCATGCTCTCCACCAGTCTTTTACATTGATGTTGGGTGAATTTATGCCACTCCTGGCGCAGAAATTCGGCTTTGTTTGATGGCTTGTGACCATCCATCTTCCCCTTGATCACATTCCAGAAGTTTTCAATGGGGTTCAGGTCTGGAGATTGGGCTGGCCATGACAGGGTCTTGATCTGGTGGTCCTCCATCCACACCTTGATTGACCTGGCTGTGTGGCATGGCGCATTGTCCTGCTGGAAAAAAAACTATCCTCAGAGTTGGGGAACAATGTCAGAGCAAAAGGAAGCAAGTTTTCTTCCAGGACAACCTTGTACGTGGCTTGATTCAAGCATCCTTCACAAAGACAAATCTGCCCGATTCCAGCCTTGTTGAAGCACCCCCAGATCATCACCGATCCTCCACCAAATTTCACAGTGGGTGCGAGACACTGTGGCTTGTAGGCCTCTCCAGGTCTCCGTCTAACCATTAGACAACCAGGTGTTGGGCAAAGCTGAAAATTGGACTCATCAGAGAAAATGACCTTACTCCAGTCCTCTACGGTCCAATCCTTATGGTCTTTTGCAAACCTCAGCCTGGTTCTTCTTTGCTTCTCCTTGATGAAGGGCTTTTTTCTAGCTTTGCACAACTTCAGCCCTGCGCCTAGGAGCCTGTTTCGAACAGTCCTCGCCGTGCACTTCACCCCAGCTGCCGTTTGCCATTCTTTTTGTAGGTCACTTGATGTCATCCGACGGTTGTTGAGTGACATTCAAATGAGTTGGCGGTCATCGCGGTCAGTAGAGAGTCGTTTTTGCCCTGTACCGGTCTGTAGCTTTGTTGTCCCCAATGTCTGCTGCTTGACCTTGTTCTTATGAACCGCCGTCTTTGAAATTTTAAGGACGGAAGCAACCTGACGCTCACTGTATCCCTCTGCCAGTGAAGCCAGAATTTAACCCTTTTTTTCCCCTCACTCAAAACTTTCCTTTTCAACTCTTTTGGCATGGTCCATAGTTATTTTTGGATTAATATAAAATGTTGAGGTACTATTAGCACTGTTTTTGCCATCCAGCTGGTCCTATTGCAAGAGGATAGTGATGACCACAGTGGGTTTTATACTTTTCCTCGTTAAATAAGATTTGGTTCAGGTGATCACCTAATCAGTACCTAACTCAGTAGAATGAGGTGTGCCTGTGTTGGAATTCAACAGACACTGGAATGGAAGTCATACATGTAGATGCTGATTTAAGAAATATTTGCAGTGGTCTCAATTTTTTCCAGAGCTGTCTGTCTGTGTGTATATATATACAGTGGGGGAAAAAAGTATTTAGTCAGCCACCAATTGTGCAAGTTCTCCCACTTAAAAAGATGAGAGAGGCCTGTAATTTTCATCATAGGTACACGTTACCTATGACAGACAAAATGAGAATTTTTTTTCCAGAAAATCACATTGTAGGATTTTTAATGAATTTATTTGCAAATTATGGTGGAAAATAAGTATTTGGTCAATAACAAAAGTTTCTCAATACTTTGTTATATACCCTTTGTTGGCAATGACACAGGTCAAACGTTTTCTGTAAGTCTTCACAAGGTTTTCACACACTGTTGCTGGTATTTTGGCCCATTCCTCCATGCAGATCTCCTCTAGAGCAGTGATGTTTTGGGGCTATCGCTGGGCAACACAGACTTTCAACTCCCTCCAAAGATTTTCTATGGGGTTGAGATCTGGAGACTGGCTAGGCCACTCCAGGACATTGAAATGCTTCTTACGAAGCCACTCCTTCGTTGCCCGGGCGGTGTGTTTGGGATCATTGTCATGCTGAAAGACCCAGCCACGTTTCATCTTCAATGCCCTTGCTGATGGAAGGAGGTTTTCACTCAAAATCTCACGATACGTGGCCCCATTCATTCTTTCCTTTACACGGATCAGTCGTCCTGGTCCCTTTGCAGAAAAACAGCCCCAAAGCATGATGTTTCCACCCCCATGCTTCACAACTCGCTGTTGGCTGGGCTCCCTGCCTGTGCCATTAAACCCCTACAACTCATCCAGAATGCCGCAGCCCGTCTGGTGTTCAACCTTCCCAAGTTCTCTCACGTCACCCCGCTCCTCCGCACACTCCACTGGCTTCCAGTTGAAGCTCGCATCTGTTACAAGACCATGGTGCTTGCCTATGGAGCTGTGAGGGGATCGGCACCTCTGTACCTTCAGGCTCTGATCAGTCCCTACACCCAAACGAGGGCATTGCGTTCATCCACCTCTGGCCTGCTGGCTCCCCTTCCTCTGCGGAAGCATAGTTCCCGCTCAGCCCAGTCAAAACTGTTCGCTGCTCTGGCACCCCAATGGTGGAACAAGCTCCCTCACGACGCCAGGACAGCGGAGTCACTCACCACCTTCCGGAGACATTTGAAACCCCACCTCTTTAAGGAATACCTGGGATAGGATAAAGTAATCCTTCTCTGCAGGTCCTCTCTGCAGGTCATTCACTGTGGTTCTGGGATTTTTGCTCACCGTTCTTGTGATCATTTTGACCCCACGGGGTGAGATCTTGCGTGGAGCCCCAGATCGAGGGAGATTATCAGTGGTCTAGTATGTCTTCCATTTCCTAATAATTGCTCCCACAGTCTTCCCAGCCTGGTGCAGGTCTACAATTTTGTTTCTGGTGTCCTTTGACAGCTCTTTGGTCTTGGCCATAGTGGAGTTTGGAGTGTGACTGTTTGAGGTTGTGGACAGGTGTCTTTTATACTGATAACAAGTTCAAACAGGTGCCATTAATACAGGTAACGAGTGGAGGACAGAGGAGCCTCTTAAAGAAGAAGTTACAGGTCTGTGAGAGCCAGAAATCTTGCTTGTTTGTAGGTGACCAAATACTTATTTTCCACCATAATTTGCAAATAAATTCATAAAAAATCCTACAATGTGATTTTCTGGAAAAAAAAATCTCAATTTGTCTGTCATAGTTGACGTGTAGCTATGATGAAAATTACAGGCCTCTCTCATCTTTTTAAGTGGGAGAACTTGCACAATTGGTGGCTGACTAAATACTTTTTTTCCCCACTGTGTGTGTGTGTGTGTGTGTGTGTGTGTGTGTGTGTGTGTGTGTGTGTGTGTGTGTGTGTGTGTGTGTATATATATATATAAACACAAAAGTATGTGGACACTCCTTCAAATTAGTGCTTTCGGCTATTTCAGCCACACCCGTTGCTGACAGGTGTATAAAATTGAACACACATCCATGCAATCTCCATAGACAAACATTGGCAGTAGAATGGCCATACTGAAGAGCTCAGTGACTTTCAACGTGGCACCGTCATAGGATGCCACCTTTCCAACAAGTCAGTTCGGCAATTTTCTGCCCTGCTAGAGCTGCCCCGGTCAACAGTAAGTGCTGTTATTGTAAAGTGGAAATGTCTAGGAGCAACAACGGCTCAGCCGCAAAGTGGCAGGCCACACAAGCTCACAGAACGGAATTGTCAAGTGTTGAAGTGCGTAGCGCGTAAAAATGGTCTGTTCCAAACTGCCTCTGAAAGCAAGAACTGTTTGTCGGAAGCTTCATGAAATGGGTTTCCACCGCCAAGCAGCCGCACAAAAGCCTAAGATCACCATGCGCAATGCGAAGAGTCGGCTGGAGTGGTGTAAAGCTCGCTGCCATTGGACTCTGGTCCAATGGAAACGCGTTCTCTGGAGTGATGAATCACGCTTCACCATCTGGCAGTCTGACGGACGAATCTGGGTTTGGCGGATGCCAGGAGAACACAATGCAGTGACAACTGTAAAGTTTGGTGGAGGAGGAATGATGATCTGGTTCGGGCTAGGCCCCTTAGTGGCAGTGAAGGGAAATCTTAACGCTACAGCATACAATGACATTCTAGACGATTCTGTGCTTCCAACTTTGTGGCAACAGTTTGGAGAAGGACCTTTCCTGTTTCAGCATGACAATGCCCATGTGCACAAAGCAAGGTCTATACAGAAATGGTTTGTCGAGATTGGGGTGGAAGAACTTGACTGGCCTGCACAGAGCCCTGACCTCAACCCAATCGAACACCTTTGGGATGAATTGGAACGCTGATTGCGAGCCAGGCCTAATAGCCCAACATCATTGCCCGACCTCACTAATGCTCTTGTGGCTGAATGGAAGCAAGTCCCCGCAAGCAATGTTCCAACATCTAGTGGAAAGCTTTCCCAGAAGAGTGGAGGCTGTTATAGCAGCAAAGGGGGGACCAACTCCATATTAATGCCCATGATTTTGGAATGAGATGTTCGACAAGCAGGTGTCCACATACTTTTCGTCATGTAGTGTGTGTGTGTGATATACAGTGCATTCGGAAAGTGTTCAGACCCCTTCACTTTTTCCAGATTCTGTTACGTTACAGCCTTATTCTAAAATGGATTAAATTGTTTGTTTTTCCCTCATCAATCTACACAAAATACCCCATAATGACAAAGCAAAAACAGTTATTTATTTTAGCAAATTTATATTTTAAAAAAGTACGGAAATATCACATTTACATAAGTATTCAGACCCTTTACTCAGTACTTTGTTGAAGCACCTTTGGCGGCAATCACAGCCTCGAGTCTTCTTGGGTATGACGCGACAAGCGTGGCACACCTGTATTTGGAGAGTTTCTCCCATTCTTCTCTGTAGATCCTCTCAAGCTCTATCAGGTTGGATGGGGAGTGTTGCTGCACAGCTATTTTCAGGTATCTCCAGAGATGTTTGATCGAGTTCAAGTCCGGGCTCTGGCTGGGCCACTCAAGGACATTCAGAGACTTGTCCCGAAGCCACTCCTGCGTTGTCTTGGCTGTGAGCTTAGGGTCGTTGTCCTGTTGGAAGGTGAACCTTCGCCCCAGTCTGAGGTCCTGGCGCTCTGGAGCAGGTTTTCATCAAGGATCTCACTATACTTTGCTCTGTTCATCTTTCCCTCAATCCTGACTAGTCTCCCAGTCCCTGCCGCTGAAAAACATTTTACATTTACGTAATTTAGCAGACGCTCTTATCCAGAGCGACTTACAAACATCCCCACAGCATGATGCTGCCACCATTATACTTCACCATAGGGATGGTACCCGGTTTCCTCCAGACGTGATGCTTGGCATTCAGGCCAAAGAGTTTCTTGGTTTCATCAGACCAGAGAATCTTGTTTCTCATGGTCAGAGTCCTTTAGGTGTCTTTTGGCAAACTCCAAGCGGGCTGTCATGTGCCTTTTACTGAGGAGTGGCTTCCATCTGGCCACTCCACGATAAAGACCTGATTGGTGGATTGTTGCAGAGATGGTTGTCCTTCTGGAAGGTTCTCCCATCTCCACAGAGGAACTCTGGAGCTCAGTCAGAGTGACCATCAGGTTCTTGGTCACCTCCCTGACCAAGGCCCTTCTCCCCCGATTGCTCAGTTTGGCCAGGTGGCCAGCTCTTGGAGTCTTGGTGGTTCCAAACTTCTTCCATTTACCACAGGTGGACTCCAATCAAGTGGTAGAAACATCTCATATGATCAATGGAAACAGGATGCACCTTAGCTAATTTCGAGTCTCACAGCAAAGGGCCTGAATACTTATGTAAATAAGGTATTTCAGTTGTTCTATTTTAATACATTTGCAAAAATGTCTAAAAACTTGTTTTTGCTTTGTCATTATGAGGTAGTGTGTGTAGATTGATGAGGATTTGTATTTATTTAATCAATTTTAGAATAAGGCTAACGTAACAAAATGCGGAAAAATCAAGGGGTCTGAATACTTTCCGAATGCACTGTGTGTTTATGTATGTATGTTTGTATGCATGCGTATATATATATATATATATAAATAAAACACTTGTGACCATGGCCCATAGGGTTCTGCTCAATTTGTGCACTATATAAGGAATAGGGTTCCATTTGGGGTGCAACCAATCCCTTTTTCCCCAGCCTACTCTAACTGACCTGCATGTTGACGTCAGCACCGTTGTTGACTAGCAGCTCGAGGCAAAGCGCCCCGTTGGTGGAGACAGCGGCCAGGTGCAGCGGCGTGCAGCAGCGGTGGTTTGGCTGGTTGACGTTGGCGCCTCGGTTCACCAGCTCGTTGGCAACCGCCTCCTGGCCCGTGTAGCATGCCATGTGGAGAGCTGTGTTCCCAAAAGCGTTGGGCTCGTCAATCTGACGTGGAGATAAAGGTAGAAATTAGACAACTAGAGTTGGTGGTGGGGTTTGGGGATGTTATATGGCCTGGAGATTAAAAAAAACAAGCAAAGAATTTCAACAATAGGAAGCCACCCAACACATGGAGTGACCTTATGATGGTGATATTATGGAACCCCATCCCCTGACCCCTCACCTCTGACCCCAGCCGCAGCAGGTACTTGACCACCTCGATCTGGCCACTGGCAGCGGCGGCGTGGAGCGGGGTATAACCACGCTTGTCCCTGCACATGGCGTCCGCACTCCGCGACACCAGTAGCTTCACAATCTCCAGATGCCCTGAGGGAAGAGGAGACAACCATACAATCATGGAACATATACAGACAGGTCAACTAAAGCCAAGGCAATCTTCTGCTTGTGCGTAAGAATATGCGATTCGACAAAAAATTACAGACAGACAACATGAAAAACTACAAGTAATCTAGTAAAAACCATTCATGAATTCACAAGAGTATAACAATATCAAAAACAGCAAATTAAAAACATTGACAGGTCAGGGAATCAGCCTCAAAATCCTTCATCAGAGATTTAAAAACACCAATCGGGACAAGTTCTTCCAGTTTAAAATTATTTTGTAAGGTGTTCCAAGACGATGGCGCAGAGTACATAAAAGACCTTTTACCAAATTCAGTTCGGACATTTGGAACAGTTAGCAGGATAAAGTCCAGTGAACGAAGAGAGTACCCACCACATTTCTGAACAATAAAAATGCCCAAATAAAAAGGTAGAAAACCCAAAATGGCTTTGTAAATAAAAGTATACCAGTGACTGAGCCTACGAGTGACTAGAGAAGGCCAGCCAACCCTGGTATACAAAGTACAGTGGTGCGTAAGGGTTTTGCAGTTTAAAATAAATCTCAAAGTACCATGATAAAGAGTGTCAATTGATCTCAAACACTGAGCGGAAGCATTCATATATAAAATATCCCCATAGTCTAGTAAAGGCATAAATGTAGCTGATACTAGCCTCCTTCTGGCTTCAAAAGAAAAACAGGCCTTATTCCTAAAATAAAATCCCAATTTCAGCTTCAATTTTTTTGTAAGTTGTTGAATATGCAATTTAAAAGAGAGGCCGTCATCAATTAGAATTCCAAGATATTTATATGAGGTTACAACCTCAATCTCCTTGCCCTGACAGGTAGTAACAGGTGAAAGGTTCAGAGGTCTATTTCTTGCATTAGAAAACACCATTAGTTTAGTTTTGTCAGTATTGAGGATAAGCTTCAATTGACACAAGGTATGTTGAACAGTATAAAAAGCAGTTTGCAAGTTCTGGAAAGCTTTTGTAAGAGATGAGGCACAACAGTAAATAACAGTATCATCAGCATAAAAATGAAGTTGTGCATTTTGGACATTTTTGTCTAAATCATTAATATAAATAGTGAATAAGAGAGGACCAAGTACAGAGCCCTGGGGCACACCATTCAGGACAGACAATTTAACAGACATAAGCCCATCAAATTGAGTGCACTGAGTTCTATCAGACAGATAGTTAGCAAACCATGCAACTGCATGCTCCGACAGACCTACACTCAACAATCTCTGCCTTAGTATAGCATGATCAACTGTATCAAAAGCCTTAGAGAGATCAATAAAAAGTGAGACACAGTGCTGTTTTTTGTCAAAGGCTTCAGTGATATCATTTAAAACCTTCATGGCTGCTGTAATTGTGCTATGCTTCTTCCTGAAGCCCGATTGATACATTGAAAAAATAGAGTTAGTAAATAAAAACTCTTTTAGCTGTTCACTTACAAGGGTTTCAAGTATTTTCACCAGGGGTGACAGCTTTGAGATTGGCCTATAATTATTTAAAAGAGTTGGATCTCCCCCTTTTAAAAGTGGTAGGACAAATGCTGATTTCCAGATCTTTGGAATTTCATTACATTCCAGGGTTAGATTGAACAGATATGTAAGTGGTTCAGCTATGAAATCAGCTGCCAGATTTAAAAAGCAGGGATCCAAAAGATCAGGACCTGCAGGCTTTCTTTGATCTAAGGATTTCAGGGCTTTATGTACCACCTGCACTGAGAATGGCAGAAAACTAAAAGTTTGACCAGCTCTCACTGGTTCATCCACACAGGGTTGTACAGAGACAGAGGACACTGGTTCATCCACACAGGGTTGTACAGAGACAGAGGACACTGAATCAAACAGCCTACCAGATGATACAAAGTGCTCATTGAAACAATTCAGCATTTCAGTTTTGTCATATATAGCAACAGAGTCCTTCAAAACACATGACGGTAATTCATTAACATTACTGTTACCAGACATATACTTAATAGCATTCCAAAACTTTCTAGGGTCATTCAGGTTATCAGTGGTAACAGACATAAAATATTCAGACTTGGCCTTCCTGAGAAGAAAAGAACACTTGTTTCTTAACTGCCTAAAAATAAGCCAATCAGCATCAGAACAAGATTTCCTTGCTTTAGCCCAGGCTAGATTACGGTCGTGAATAATACAAGACAGCTCAGAAGAAAACCATGGATTATCCCGCCCTTTAACCCTGAACCTGCGGAATGGTGCATGTTTGTTTACTATTTGGAAAAAACCATCATGAAAGAATATCCAGGCAGTTTCCACATCAGGGATAAGCTCAATCTTGCTCCAGTCAAAATAAAACAAATCATGAAAGAAAGCCTGCTCATTAAAACACTTCAAATTTCTCTTACGAATAAAACGTGGATTTGTCTTTGGAACCTTAGTATTTCTAACAGCAACAACAGCACAATGGTCACTTAAATCATTACAAAAAACACCAACCGCAGAATATTTATGTGGAACATTTGTCAATATCAAATCAATCAGGGTAGATTTATCAGGGCATTTAAGATTTGGGCGAGTGGGTGAATTAATCAACTGGGTAAGATTCATAGAATTACAAAACATTTTTAAATCATCAGACACCGGCTTTAACCAACACCAGTTGAGATCACCAATCAAGATCATTTCACTGTAAAGAAGTTTAGACATAAGGTGCGTCAAAGAAGAAAATGCATCACCAAGAGCAGAGGGGGGTCTATAACAGCCAATCACAGTTATAGAGAGGCCCTTTGAAACTTCAATATTCAAAGCAAGAAATTCCAACTGTTTACAAATAGTTTCAGACTTTGCCACACTTACATGGAATTTAGATTTTACATATATAGCCACACCCCCACCTTTCTTAACCCGATCTGCACGATAAACATTGTAACCACTTATACAAATATCCTTATCAAAAATAGACTTGCTGAGCCAGGTTTCCGAAAACACAATTACATCAGCATCAGTTGATTTAGCCCAAATCCTAACCCCATCAATTTTTGACAACAGGCTGCGTACATTTAAATGAAAAATACCAAAACCAGATCTTGATTTAAAATCAGAGGGGGTTTGGAGACATTGCATATCAGGGCCAGGGTTAGGTTGCACGTTACCTGATATCAACAACAGAAGAATAACTAGGCACCTCTGTTTAATAACCTTGCACGGCTTCTCTTTTTTAAGAGACCTACTGCAAGCGAATTCTACAAGTGAGTTTCCAGACAATACAAAACAGTCATTTAAAACCATTAGACTTTGGTAGTGACACAAATTCGTACTGTTCACATCATGCCACAAATGCATCGGCACTTGGACGAGTGGACCGAGTGAAAAAGAGCGAGTTCCTGCAGACAAAATGTCTAATGGACGCGAGAGTACATTGTCAGATGTACTCACCCTGCGACAATGTTCGTTTTCTCCAGAGTTCAATAAAGTCAGTGCACAAAGCAATACCACGTAAATTGTCATTTTCTCTGACCAAAAAACAAGAGGCCAACGAAGGTAAGTGGAGAGAGGGACAGCGTGTATGTGAGTCAATGTGAGTGTTTGCGCGTGTGAGTAGATTGGGTAACGGGTTGAGCTGCCACTGACAGCCAGGCGAAGAGCAAGGAGCAGCTCGGACAAGACACTCCGCGGACTAACGAGGAACTCAGGCCAGCCAGAGATAGGGTTACTTTGGTAAACTTCAAGTAATGAAGTTCCGAGTTGAGGAGGACCCGTGATCTTTACACCAGCAAAAATAAAATAGTTTGCACTACGCAACAACGAAGTTACGCAACCATAAATAAATAGATTATTAGTAGGTTAAAATGTACTAGTCACAAACAAACGACTTGACAAACGACTTGACATGCTGCCATCTTGGATTTGGATGCATTGATGGGAAGTTGTCTAGAATGCAAGTTGATTTGTAGATCAGTGAGTCTGCTCAGTGCACAGTGCCTTTGCTCAGGCTAACGAGAGGAGTGTTAGTAACCACGTTTTCATCCAACCATTTAATGCGGATGAATTACCTGACGGATGAATTACCTGACGGATGAATTACCTGACGGATGAAAAATGTTAAGACCGGGCAGATAGAAACATGAAATTCCGGTACAATTTTATAAATGCCGACAGACAATTTGTTTGCTCAATCTTTTTGTGTCTGTAAAATTAATTATTTGAGGAATGGCGGTGGAAATGCCATTATGCAGAAATATTAATATAATAACAATTATTGAAGTAAACTTGGAGTCACGCGATGTATGTTGTGTGGTCCTCCCACTACGACTCGGGAAAGCATACAGTTTATTAGGCTACAGATGAAATAAGTTATGATGAACTTCACAGGGTGGTGAAGGTGAAAGTGCAAGGTGATGAGCTTGATGCTCCTTTCCAATAAATATTGAGGGTCTTATTCTGGTGACATGATGATCGATGCTTGGCTGCAATTTGACAAATACAAATAATATCGCTCTCATCCATAATAATATGCGAGCTGTTGGCTAGAGTGCATGTGTCAAGACCAGAGTGGAAACGTGACAAAACCATCAGTAAAGTTGAAAATGCGATGGAAACCCACTTAACTTGTATTTTTCATTCTGTAAATTGTTTTATATGCACTGTCATCACACACAGCCTTTTATTTGCAAAAAGTATGTTCGATGGAAACATCTCTGGTGGGAAAATGCCCATATTGTTCTATGCAGATTTCAGAATATTCACATTAAAATCTGGTCGCAAATTGGATGGAAACCTAGCTAATTTCAGGAAATGTGTCCGTTAAGGTTCCACCCACCGAGGTATGCGGCCCAGTGGATTGGCTGCCTCTCCTTCTTATCACTGGCACTCAGGTTGGCCCCTTTGTTGAGGAGCAAATTCACCATCTGGAAACAGACAGGAGATAGTGAGTTAAAACCAAAACACTCAGACACCTTTCTGAGTAGATGATGAACAGTTTAGCACCGAGGCTGCGTCTGAAATGGCTCCTATTCCCTATATAGTGGACCCTATGCGGGCCCTGGTCAAAAGTAGTGCACTATATAGGGGATTGGGTGCCATTACAGTGTTACTCATAACCCTCCACCCTATGACTCCGCTGTGACCCCTGACCTCCACGTGGCCGCTGTGTGCTGCGTGGTGCAGGGCCGTCCTGCCGGAGCGGTCCGCTACGTTCAGGCTGCTCAGCTTGGGGATGAGGGCCTCAGCGCAGCGTGTGGCCCGGTTAGCCGCCGCCACGTGCAACGGTGTCTGCCAAAACTTATCTCGTGCATTGACCTCCGCATCCTGCTTCAGAAGCAGCCCCACAGCCTTCTGGGAAAGACGGAAGGAGAATAAATAACAAGGATGAGGAGTGTGACTATCACTGAAATTCATATACAGTGAGGGAAAAAAGTATTTGATCCCCTGCTGATTTTGTACGTTTGCCCACTGACAAAGAAATGATCAGTCTATAATTTTAATGGTAGGTTTATTTGAACAGTGAGAGACAGAATAACAACAAAAGAATCCAGAAAAACACATGTAAAAAATGTTATAAATTGATCTGCATTTTAATGAGGGAAATAAGAATTTGACCCCCTCTCAATCAGAAAGATTTCTGGCTCCCAGGTGTCTTTTATACAGGTAACGAGCTGAGATTAGGAGCACACTCTTAAAGGGAGTGCTCCTAATCTCAGCTTGTTACCTGTATAAAAGACAACTGTCCACAGAAGCAATCAATCAGATTCCAAACTCTCCACCATGGCCAAGACCAAAGAGCTCTCCAAGGATGTCAGGGACAAGATTGTAGACCTACACAAGGCTGGAATGGGCTACAAGACCATCGCCAAGCAGCTTGGTGAGAAGGTCACAACAGTTGGTGCGATTATTCGCAAATGGAAGAAACACAAAATAACTGTCAATCTCCCTTGGCCTGGGGCTTCATGCAAGATCTCACCTTGTGGAGTTGCAATGATCATGAGAACGGTGAGGAATCAGCCCAGAACTACACGGGAGGATCTTGTCAATGATCTCAAGGCAGCTGGGACCACAGTCACCAAGAAAACAATTGGTAACACACTACGCTGTGAAGGACTGAAATCCTGCAGCGCCGGCAAGGTCCCCCTGCTCAAGAAAGCACATATACAGGCCCGTCTGAAGTTTGCAATGAACATCTGAATGATTCAGAGGAGAACTGGGTGAAAGTGTTGTGGTCAGATGAGACCAAAATCGAGCTCTTTGCCATCAACTCAACTTGCCGTGTTTGGAGGAGGAGGAATACTGCCTATGACCCCAAGAACACCATCCCCACCGTCAAACATGGTGGTGGAAACATTATGCTTTGGGGGTGTTTTTCTGCTAAGGGGACAGGACAACTTCACCGCATCAAAGGGACGATGGACGGGGCCATGTACCGTCAAATCTTGGGTGAGAACCTCCTTCCCTCAGCCAGGGCATTGAAAATGGGTCGTGGATGGGTATTCCAGCATGACAATGACCCAAAACACACGGCCAAGGCAACAAAGGAGTGGCTCAAGAAGAAGCACATTAAGGTCCTGGAGTGGCCTAGCCAGTCTCCAGACCTTAATCCCATAGAAAATCTGTGGAGGGAGCTGAAGGTTCGAGTTGCCAAACATCAGCCTCGAAACCTTAATGACTTGGAGAAAATCTGCAAAGAGGAGTGGGACAAAATCCCTCCTGAGATGTGTGCAAACCTGGTGGCCAACTACAAGAAACGTCTGACCTCTGTGATTGGCAACAAGGGTTTTGCCACCAAGTACTAAGTCATGTTTTGCAGAGTGGTCAAATACTTATTTCCCTCATTAAAATGCAAATCAATTCATAACATTTTGACATGTGTTTTTCTGGATTTTTTTGTTGTTATTCTGTCTCTCACTGTTCAAATAAACCTACCATTAAAATTATAGACTGATCATTTCTTTGTCAGTGGGCAAACGTACAAAATCAGCAGGGGATCAAATACTTTTTTCCCTCACTGTAGCTACTCATTCAAGGAAGGAGGTGAAGGGTAATAAGTATGGAAGATTCATTTCAAAAGCTGAGAAATGAGCAGTGCTATAAAGACTGATGAAGAATTCCAGTGAAATGACTGTAGAAGGTTTTACATATTGTATTTGACATCATGGTCTTACTTCGTTCCGTGAGGCAGCTGCCCGATGCAGGGGAGTCAGCCAGCCTTGGTCCTTAGCGTTAATACTAGCACCTGAGAGAGTGAGTGAGTGAGTGAGTGAGTGAGTGAGAAAACTCAGTCAACCATTCTGTAACTCTCAGCTCCACTGATTAAATAACAACAACCATATATGCAGAGTGTAAAAAAAAAAGCACATTCAGCTAATCACAATGGCCCTCAGATCTCAGGTGATCAGTGACATTTACACACCTCTGGTTTCATTAGCAGCATCTTCCTTTAGGATAGGGCTTCTCAACCTCTGACTATAGGGAAGGGTTTCAATGCTGGTTGATATTCTAACAGATAATAAGATTAACCTTTATTCTATAATATGATAGGGATAATTGAGTGAATAAAGCAAATCACTCTGAAAAGTGTCTGTCTCATGCTGGAGAACGTTACCTGAATTAATGAGGAGGTCCATAATGTGAACGTCGCCCAAACACGCAGCAGCATGTAAGGGGGTTCGGCGTTCTTGGTCCTGAGGAGGGACAGCAGACAGAGACACAGTCAGCAAGAACCCAGATTAAAGCCCACGGTTGGTTTTGATCACATCATTGTATTAAAAACAAACAGCAAGTTGAACGATACACCCCAAAGCCCCAGAATATAGAATGTAATGCCGCTGCTAATAGGTTTATGCTAATACCAACTACATAAAATAGCTTTTAATTACAGGATATTGAAAATACAGAAAGAAATAGCCATCCTGCAAAAAATTCAAGTAAAAAGGTATGTCATACATGTTGGCCTGTAGCCTGTCTCCTCAGAATATTCAGTATGAATGCAAAGTGGAACTTTTTTTCACAGAAAATGATCAGTTGGGGTTAGGTATGCTGTATCTAAAAATGTGGCAGTGAGCTAGACCAGATTTGTTTTATTTATTCTGTAAACCGAAAGAAGGGCTTGAAATTCACTTCAGTGAGTAAAATTGCTCAGGCATCTATAGCCTGTTAACGGACCCTGTCCTCCGTACTGGAATGTGTGCGTGCAGTGTAAACCCACCAGTGAATGACTCATGACAGTGAAAGGAAGGAAGGGAGGCGTGTGGGGAATGAGGGCTCAGGCCCAGTCCTCACCCTCGCAGCCCTAGTAAGGAAATCGCTGTCTTATTCTCCATACGCATCATTCAATCACTGACTGGAGGAGGAAGCCGTTTGAGGATTTTGGGCCTCCGGGAGGAGAGGCTGTTTAAGGATAAGTGTCCCTGTGGGTTTTGGGCGTACAAGTCAAAAATGTTCTGCCTTGCACAGCAAGAATTCATGTTTGGATGCATGTAGGCATCAAAACAATGTTAACCATGTGAAAGTGAAGCAAAGGGAGCTCAACTGCATATTAATTCAAATGTGTTATTTTGCTGTGCTAGAACAGAATGTCTTCTTTGACTTTAAGTAGTGATTGAATAGCCCCAGGGCTAGTGGCTTCAACTGAGTATTGACAACAGTTATATAATATTTGACCTCTGCCAACTATTGACTCCATTGCAAATGCAAAATATATTAATATACAATAGAAACTGATTTAGGTTGTTGTGACATTTGACAAATTGCAGCTACTGAATTTACACATTGGCACCAAGTCATAGATGAACCAACGCTGATTTAAAGTATGCACTCAGCAATTTGAGACCATGTCCTCTCAACTCTAGAAGTTCCTTTCTACACACCACTATTCACATTAGGCGCCCTCACCTTGCCCTGTTTCAGCTCCTGTGAAACTGAATGTTAAGGCTGCCTGTGTGTCTGTATTAAGTGTACCTAGAGAAGGGTGTCAGCGCTCTTTAACCTGACAGCCAGCTGGTCAGATTACCAGAGGGGTGGAACAAACGCGTAAGGAACCTGAACTGACTGGCCACACACTTGGATGGAAGAAGATGCTTTCAATCTCTCAATGCTAAGCTTTTCCTCCCATCAATCCCTTAACCATAAGCTCATCTTTTCCTTGTCCTCAAATACATGGGGCATGTGCACTTGTGTGCAATTCAACCACACACACATGAAATACAGCTTACACTCAAAATGGTTCTTGAAGAGAACAACATGCACAGATACTGTTGGAAGCTGCGACCAAGAATGTGAAGCGTGAACTACTGTGGGTATAACATTACTGCTCCACATAGCATTATTGATTGACTGTGTGGCCTTAACTAGATCTGATTCACAGTTGACAGGAAGGTCAAATCAAATCAGTTTATTGGTCACATGCACAGGAGGTCAAAGCGTGTAGAGGATTTGAGAGGTAATCCCTTGCTATTTAACTGGCTGGCCCATTAAGAACGTGTCTAGAAAATGGGTACCATAGGAGATGTGGAGGAAATTGATTCACACAGGGTCATGTTCATGTGTAGGGAGCCATCTTACCAGTGCATTGACTTCTTCATTCTTGTGCAACAAAAACTTCACTTCCTCTGCATTTCGGCTAAATATAGCCTGGACCAGTGGAGTCTGGAAGAGAATATAGACACATTAAATATTTTCAGATTGTGCATGCACTACTGACATCCTGATTCTCCTGTAAATAAAAGAAAAATAATAATAGGCCTGCGTTATCTGGTCCAATTTCTTGCAAACTTCTTTGAAATGTGCTGCTGCATAATGCAAGTTAATATTAGAAGAGGTCTTTGTCATAGACAGGTGTGGGATCTGGGCATTATGCTATAAAATGTGTGATGCTTCCCTGATAACACGGGGTGGATGAATGACTTTAGTTAGCTATCTACTTAACTGGGAATCACTCACAGACCGACACTACTAGTCATATTTGCTAACGTTAGCTGCGTGCACCCAACACAACGCACTTGGCTTGGAATTGGAAAACGCCTCATCACGCAGTGTTTAAAATGTAACAGCTGAGTGCATTTCTGTACAACGTGCAACTATACGGAACTATAAAAAGTTAGCTAAATACATAATTCTGTCCAGTTAACTCGATACTTTACCAACAACACAGTAGTGACAGCCCAGTCCATAGCTAACTAATGCGGACTGCAGCGACGATGTTTCGAGCTAGCTTGCTAGTTTCCTAGCTGTCAGCTAGCTAGCTGAGAATGTCTTTACTCCTACATTGTTGGTTATTGACGTCTGAACAAGTTGTTCAAACTGGAAATCATAAAATCCCAAATGTTTAGCCAGTTAGCTAGCTTGCTACTAATCTGAATATGTATTCGTCCATGCCGATGTTAGCAAACGTTAGCTATGGGATGATAGCCTCGTTAGGCAAGCTGACGTATAAATCCTATTGCCACATTTAGTAGCTAGGCATTAGCAAGCGAACAAATCAGTGGGGACATCATTTTCGCAAACAAAACAGTCCCACGTTATACTTCATTTTATTGGAGCATGTAAAATGTAACTAGACTGTATCCTTAAAATGGCCATAAACGAGCTTAGGCCAAGCACCGTACGTAGTTAGCGAGACCTAGCTAGCAACGTTAGCTAGCTATCTATCAAACCCGCCCTCATAAGGAAACAGTGATAAAGAAAACAACGGTTTCCAAAATGAATACCGTAGCTTGCGTTAATTCGCATTCCCTACCTGGTCTGTTATGTTTAGTATTCCCATATCCCAGTCAGTCAGGCCGGAGCTCCTTCATTAGGATCGGATGGAGATGTAGCTAACTGCGATATTTTTTGTTTTATTGTGGTTATTATTCGGGGAAGGATTTGTTCTGCGTCCGTGTATGCTCGCCGTTGTTTATTGCACTGATAGACACAAGTGGTGCGTACTTGAACTGCGGCCGTCGGTAAAAGCTAGTATGTGCAGCACCAGCAGCGACATACAGTGGTCACTTTGAATAGTGCACCACAATCTATCCATAAAATCTGTAAATGTATCAGTTATTCATCATATATTTATTTTTAGTAACGTTGTAACTATATCAGAGACAAAACATATGTCTGCAATGAATATTATACTCTCTAACGTTATCTGTCTTCTTCAAGAAAACTAGCTAGACTAGTTTTTTTTGTGTTAGGCAGATATTTCAGCTTCTTTTTTGGGGGGTTGAGAAAATTAATCTTCTGTAGCAAGATTTACAAAGTGATGAACATAGAAATAGAATGATCATTATATTTCTATGGGGATGAACGCATTTCATTGACAACAAAAAAACAAATGAATGAGTCAGGTGGTTAACTACTTACGCAATTTAAGTGGGAGTGGCCTGAATCTGCTCCAAGTCGACAGCAGTGAAGATGGAGGTTTCTAGCCTGTGACTATCAGTGGACCTGACCGGGCAAAGTAATAAGAAGGGCAGAGGAAACTGTTTAATATGTAACTAGGTAAACTGTTATGGCATTTCATTCGATTTAGGCAAGGAGTCGAGCAATGTTAGCTAGGTAGCTAGCAAGCCAAAATCAGCTGATTCTCCTGTCACTAAAATGACACAAAAAATGTCATTTTGATAACATCAGCCAGTTAGGTAGCGCGCATGCTTTACAGAACGTGTGTGTGTTGTGAACAACATTAGCGTGAGCAACAATAGTGGAATCGTCGGTTCGCCTTCAAATTAACATTAACATTTTAGTCATTTAGCAGACGCTCTTATCCAGAGCGACTTACAGTTAGTGAGTGCATACATTATTATTATTTTTTGTAAAAAAAAAAAAAATCATACTGGCCCCCCGTGGGAAACGAACCCACAACCCTGGCGTTGCAAACGCCATGTTCTACCAACTGAGCTACATCCCTTCCGGCCATTCCTTCCCATACCCTGGACGACGCTGGGCCAATTGTGCGCCTCCCCATGGGTCTCCTGGTCGCGGCCGGCTACGACAGAGCCTGGATTCGAACCAGGATCTCTAGTGGCACAGCTAGCACTGCCATGCAGTGCCTTAGACCACGAGTGGCGCAGGGAATTAAAAGTCCCACATTGAAACATACAAATCAGTAAAAATAGTGGAATCATGCCACAAATCAATCAAATCAAATTGTATTTGCCACATGCGCCGAATACAACACCTTACCGTGAAATGCTTACTTACAAGCCCTTAACCAACAATGCAGTTAAATCAAATCAAATCAAATTTTATTGGTCACATGCGCCGAATACAACAGGTGCAGACATTACAGTGAAATGCTTACTTACAGCCCTTAACCAACAGTGCATTTATTTTAAACAAAAAAAGTAAAAATAAAACAACAACAAAAAAAGTGTTGAGAAAAAAAAGAGCAGAAGTAAAATAAAGTGACAGTAGGGAGGCTATATATACAGGGGGGTACCGTTGCAGAGTCAATGTGCGGGGGCACCGGCTAGTTGAGGTAGTTGAGGTAATATGTACATGTGGGTAGAGTTAAAGTGACTATGCATAAATACTTAACAGAGTAGCAGCAGCGTAAAAAGGATGGGGTGGGGGGGCAGTGCAAATAGTCCGGGTAGCCATGATTAGCTGTTCAGGAGTCTTATGGCTTGGGGGTAGAAGCTGTTGAGAAGTCTTTTGGACCTAGACTTGGCACTCCGGTAAATAAAGAGTTAATAAAATATTTACTAAATAAACTAAAGTAAAAAATATATAATAAGAAGTAATACATTAAAATAACAATAACGAGGCTATATACAGGGGGTACAGGTACTGAGTCAATGTGTGGGGGTACAGGTTAGTAAAGGTAATTTGTACATGTAGGTAGGGGTAAAGTGACTATGCATAGATAATAAACAGCGAGCAGCAGCAGTATAAAAAGAAAGGAGGAGGGGGGTGTTGCAATGTAAATAGTCCGGGTGGCCATTTTATTAATTGTTTAGCAGTCGTATGGCTTGGGGGTATAAGCTGTTAAGGAGCCTTTTGGACCTAGACTTGGCGCTCTGGTACCGCTTGCCGTGCGGTAGCAGTGAGAACAGTCTATGACTTGGGTGACTGGAGTCTTTGACAATTTGTTGGTCCTTCCTCTGACACTGCCTAGTATATACAGTGGGGGAAAAAAGTATTTAGTCAGCCACCAATTGTGCAAGTTCTCCCACTTAAAAAGATGAGAGAGGCCTGTAATTTTCATCATAGGTACACGTCAATTATGACAGACAAATTGAGATTTTTTTCTCTCCAGAAAATCACATTGTAGGATTTTTAATGAATTTATTTGCAAATTATGGTGGAAAATAAGTATTTGGTCACCTACAAACAAGCAAGATTTCTGGCTCTCACAGACCTGTAACTTCTTCTTTAAGAGGCTCCTCTGTCCTCCACTCATTACCTGTATTAATGGCACCTGTTTGAACTTGTTATCAGTATAAAAGACACCTGTCCACAACCTCAAACAGTCACACTCCAAACTCCACTATGGCCAAGACCAAAGAGCTGTCAAAGGACACCAGAAATAAAATTGTAGACCTGCACCAGGCTGGGAAGACTGAATCTGCAATAGGTAAGCAGCTTGGTTTGAAGAAATCAACTGTGGGAGCAACTATTAGGAAATGGAAGACATACAAGACCACTGATAATCTCCCTCGATCTGGGGCTCCACGCAAGATCTCACCCCGTGGGGTCAAAATGATCACAAGAACGGTGAGCAAAAATCCCAGAACCACACGGGGGGACCTAGTGAATGACCTGCAGAGAGCTGGGACCAAAGTAACAAAGCCTACCATCAGTAACACACTACGCCGCCAGGGACTCAAATCCTGCAGTGCCAGACGTGTCCCCCTGCTTAAGCCAGTACATGTCCAGGCCCGTCTGAAGTTTGCTAGAGTGCATTTGGATGATCCAGAAGAGGATTGGGAGAATGTCATATGGTCAGATGAAACCAAAATAGAACTTTTTGGTAAAAACTCAACTCGTCGTGTTTGGAGGACAAAGAATGCTGAGTTGCATCCAAAGAACACCATACCTACTGTGAAGCATGGGGGTGGAAACATCATGCTTTGGGGCTGTTTTTCTGCAAAGGGACCAGGACGACTGATCCGTGTAAAGGAAAGAATGAATGGGGCCATGTATCGTGAGATTTTGAGTGAAAACCTCCTTCCATCAGCAAGGGCATTGAAGATGAAACGTGGCTGGGTCTTTCAGCATGACAATGATCCCAAACACACCGCCCGGGCAACGAAGGAGTGGCTTCGTAAGAAGCATTTCAAGGTCCTGGAGTGGCCTAGCCAGTCTCCAGATCTCAACCCCATAGAAAATCTTTGGAGGGAGTTGAAAGTCCGTGTTGCCCAGCGACAGCCCCAAAACATCACTGCTATAGAGGAGATCTGCATGGAGGAATGGGCCAAAATACCAGCAACAGTGTGTGAAAACCTTGTGAAGACTTACAGAAAACGTTTGACCTGTGTCATTGCCAACAAAGGGTATATAACAAAGTATTGAGAAACTTTTGTTATTGACCAAATACTTATTTTCCACCATAATTTGCTAATAAATTCATAAAAAATCCTACAATGTGATTTTCTGGAGAAAAAAAATCTCATTTTGTCTGTCATAGTTGACGTGTAACTATGATGAAAATTACAGGCCTCTCTCATCTTTTTAAGTGGGAGAACTTGCACAATTGGTGGCTGACTAAATACTTTTTTCCCCCACTGT